ACAATATGCAAAAGCATGGGATCATTATAAGGATCGGTGCATTTGCTTAAAAGTGAGAAATAATAGAATTCTGTAGTTTTAGAGGTGCGCGCCGTGACTTATTGGACTCACATTGCGGCTTGTGAGCCTCTATGCCATGCATCGCGGTTTGTTGCACAATACACCACGACGCATTGCACTTTTCATGATAGCAGAATTCTATTGTCAAATTGACAGCTTTTGGGACAACTTTCGATACTCGCTACTTCTCCATCCAACATCCAATTGATTCGAACTCAATGTCTATAGAAAGCTCTTTCTCAACTCTAACAAAGTCTTTGGTTTCACACTCAAATTATTAATCACTCAAAAGTTGGACGCTCATTTCACAATTTGTACTTTTCATCACTTTTCAAAAAAACTAAATGTCTGAATCACAAACTAAAACCAAAAACCATAGACACCACCCATACTACATGCATTAACCTAAAATGAAATCATATACTGTATTACCTCATACATAACACTTATAAATCACATTTTTAATGCTTAACCCCTTAATCTCAAAAATAGAAGGGGGAGCCCAAAACTCACGTTTCAATAAATAATCCACAAAAGTCACAAGTTAAACTCTATTTTTACTTGCACTAATATTTTAGCCCTGCTATAGATATCATAAATCACATACATACACTTTAGGGCCCAAAATATACTTTACCCTTCACAAAAACAAATAATGCAAGAAAGTTTCAAATGGAAATATACCTAGTTGGCAATGTCAATCATTATATAAATATAAATACTCAAAAATAAAGAGGCCTATTAATAGTATGACAATTCTATGCCTCAAGCTGTTTTCCTTTATTTGATCCTCTTAAGCTATTCCTGTAGTATTGAAGATAATAGAGAGAGTACAATCACTCAGTAACTAAAGTTTAACCAACTCATACTAATACATGTCAATTAATTCTAAAAGCAAGTGGCAGGCTACAATTTAATTTTCACAACATGTACACATTCAAGGACATAAATCCATATTTCCAGGCACAATAGCACATACTCATGAAATGATGCCTTACAACAACTTCCATATAGGAAAATAATTAGTCACATGATTAATAGACATATTCTCATAAGGAATTAAAGCTAAATTCACAATCTTCATCGATAGGGACATGATATAGAAAATCATGTGTCCTTTTTCACTATATACATGATCATACCTCCCTTATATTCTCCTTATTCCTCTGACATGAAATGGTAGGTTATAACATATTGGGATAGTCTATGATATAGGACTTTCCTAGTCTAAACACATGTGAGGGTTTACCCAACTAAGGTTTTTCCTACTCACTTGTGGAACACAGTTTCGCTAATCTTGTCACACTATGGGGTGTTATTCTCTCTAAACTAGCTTCCTTATTGAATCAGTGGATAGCTAGTTAAGTTTACGTCCCTCGATGAACCAGTGGCATAGTTCCTCTTTGAATAAGTGGGATAATATATATAAACATCAATCCATGCAAAACTGGGATGGGAACCTTACCATGTGAATTTAAATCTTTACTCCTCTACCTAAGTGAACTCCCGCTTTTCAAGATCATGTAGTGCATAGATATGCATAATTCTAAGCATGCATTTACTTGATGATCAAGCATGCATCACCTTATTGCTATACCTAATCATATACATGATAATAACATAATACAGACAATTAAATCGTTGAACTCCATGTTACCAATCTCATTGAACTCCACAATTTCACAAATCATTGAACTTTCAATAATTACATAGACTTATAATACTTCATTAACACATATTCATTGTATTCCCCTAAAACATGTAATCATTGGACTATTCACAATCGAGTCATTGAACTCACATTTCAAAAATTTATTGTGCTTCATTATCAAATTGTATTATTGAACTCCAACTTAATCATTAAACTCACAATTCATGATTTCATTGAATCTTACAAAGAAAACCAATATAGTGGAAGTTAGAATCATTCATGCCATCCTTGCAATTTATTCAATTTCACACATTCAAATTTTCAAACATCAATTAATAAACTAATTAACATACAAAAGCACAAGGTAAAATTTCTTCAATTACCTCAAACTTTTGAGAGGTTAAAAGTTTCACCCATTAAATTCTCACTTCCAAAGCTTCTAAGAAGCTTGAATAGTATCAATAAGATTACTCTACAACATTTATAATATAAATCATCAATATCTATTTTTTGGATAATTTTCATTATTAACTCAATACTTCTTCATTCTTAAGATTCATTCTTTACTCATGTGAAAATACCTATAGAGTTTTCTTAGCTTCCTCTAGCCCTCATTAATATCATTGAACTCTTTAGTGGCCATTTATGAAGCCACATTTTCCCAACCATTATATTCATGGTGGAATTTCACATATTTAATGCTCCCCAACCATTAATCATCATGAAACAATAAAACTAGGTTTCATTAACTTAAACTACTCCCATAACTTTATTTGAGTCAATGGGTTTAAACCCATAGCTTTTATGGAACAAAAATTATCATTATTAATCAAATTCTAACTTCTAACATCAAGAAAATGAAAGAAGATAGGAAGATTTAAATTTAGAAACCTTACCTCAAATGTTTTCTAACTCCAATGTACTCCCGCTGGTTGACTTCCTCAAACTCTAGCAGAGCCTCTTACACTTTCTTTTATTTTTCTTTCTTTTCTGCACCATATTTGCGATCTTGATCTGTAAAAAAGTGGCCATGGTTACGACAAATGCACAATGCGCAACGATGCATGGCATAGAGAACATCTCCTTCGAGCATATCAGCATACATGCTTTGCAGCGGTTTGACCCACAAGTTGTGACACAGGGCAGAAAACCTTACGCTTCAATTTTCTTACTCTTTTCATATCTGATGACCCAATTCTCATTCAGACCTGCTTTTAGGGCTGAAAATATAATTAAACATGCTCGTTAAACCTCCATACACCTCTCTAATAAACTTAATTAATTTAATCAGGCTTAAATAATGAGATTAAAATTTGAGGATGTTACAGCATAGAATATGCCTAATGCATTTTTTGCCACCTTCTCGAGCTTAGTTGATCCGTACACTATCTTAGCTCATTCCTAAAGTTGTTCAAAGGTCAATTAACTATGTTAATCCTTAAGACATCATTAAATTATAAATTCACTTAAATTGACCAAAATATCTCTCTCAACACTTAAAATTTTTCAGATTGAAATCCAAAATGTTACAATTAAATTGCACCATTTTAAAATGTTGAGGGAACAATTCGCATAATAAATAAATTCAAAGTCTATAGTGTTACTAGACTTAAAATTATAGAGAGTAATTTACTTATTTACCCTTTCATATATCTCCATATTATTATAGCATTATCTATTTGTAGAAGGTATTAGAAACATGTTTTTTTTTTAAGATTTTGATTATTTTAAAAATTTAAATAAACATCATAAATAGATTTTTTTCCAAAAAATAATTGAATTTTTTATGAAAAATTTTAAACAATCAAGCCCTATAACATCTCCTTTCCCCCCTCAATATTAGAACACTTAGTTGTAAGTTACAATATAACACCATGCATTTACATACATCATATTAAAACAATTTTAGCGCGTTTGGCTCACTAAATGAGAGGGAATGTAATGGAATATAATGCTAGGGAATGGGATGTAATGTAATGATGATTACATATATTTGTTTGGAATGTTATTGGATAAATATATTTTTTATAAGAAAAATATCAAAAGATTTATGAAATGACATTTTTGCCCTTAATCAAAAAAGAAATTCTACACATCTTCCTTCTTCTCCTGACGATAGCTTTTCGGAAACATCATTATCGCCTGGTACAGACCACACACAACAACATAATCAAACCCAAAAAACCCATATATAATATGAAAAATCAAGTTAAAGATGATGGGGATTTGAGGAAGATGCAAATAAGAAGATTGGGTTTGAAAAGAGGTGATGGACAAGTCTCGTGAATTCCAAATACCAAAACCGAATTAGAGGGCTTTAGAATAAGGCGGAGGTGAAGACTTTGCTTCGAGTGATATCGGAGAGCTTGGGATTAGAACCAAGGCCCTTGTGGAGTTCACTAGTTTTGATTTTGGTTTGTAGATTTTCATCTTCAACCTCCTATACTAGAATGGGATCAAAGGGCTTTAGATTAAGCATGCCGGCAGGTTACACTTGTTGTTCTCCATTTGTTTTCGCTTTGTCATGGATGGACTTGCTAGTGAACATACACCAACAAAAGAGATGAATAATAAAGAGGGAGGGGTATTTTGGGATAAAGGATGTTGTGATGGGGATTGCATATTTGAGGTAATTTTTTATCATATGTAATCCCTTTTACATTACTTGAGACTAATCAAACAACCAGAATGATAAAATGCATCAAGATTATAATTAATCCCATTTCGTGGATTCCAATTGAGTGGGCACTTTGTTGGTAAAAAAAAAAAAACTGAGTGGGCACTTTGTTACATCTACCCATAATGCATTATGTTTCCCGTTCTTGCCTTGAATAATGACACTCTCCTCATAAAATTTTAAAATGAAAAAAATTAAAATAGTGAAAGGTGATAAAAATAATTTTAAAAGGAGAGGTATTAATAATTATACTTGTAAGTCACCACTCACTACAACTATTTCCTTTAAATATAATCCTTAATATATAATACTAGTTTTTTAAAATTTCAAAACATAAAAACTAATGAATTTAGTTGAAAAGATCTACCTATTATTCTTAATATCTTGAAAAAGCTATTTTCTATTAATGGCAAAACCTATTTTTTATGCTTAACTTATCATGCAGTTACGTGCCCACACACACAAATTTAATTTCCTTCCCTCTTTTTTCTTGTTAGCTCAAATTTAAATTTTAATTAGCTTTTCTTTCAACCCTACCCCTATCTTGGGAGACAAGGAAATATATACACATATATATATATATATTCGTCGTATTCGTCGGTTCCTCTTAAGCAGCGAATGTCTCTTTGCCTGTTCGCTCCGTTCGTCCCGTCGCGTGGCATCTGTTCTCCGCTTCATATCGACGGTGAATAGTTCTCCGCTTCGTTCGACCCAGCTGCATGCATTGCAACCTAAGTACACATTTTCAATTTCTCAGGGATTTACCAAACCTCGTGCTCTATCTCAATCGACGAATATCTGAGTGGGTTGACACTCAAATTCCATCCTTCATGGCTTCATTCCTCTCAAACTAGCTTAATTTCTGTATCATTTTACTGGGTAAGTCAAATTTTCGACCCATACAGTTGCTTGAGTTTTGACTTTGATTTTTTTAAAAAATTGTGGTCTCTATGCTATTCTAATAATTTTTGAGTGCTATTTCGTTTGTGATGGACTGGGGGATCTTGAATGATTGTAACCCAGATAACACTCTCACATCTGTCTAATTTTGTTATTTTGAAATTTGGAGTTAGGTAATGTTTGGGAGTTTTGGTGGGTGAAAAAAGAACGGGCATGAAACTTATTATATTTAAGTTTTTCAATTTTAGGCTATGAGTACGAGGAAGAGGGGGAGCCGTGAGTAAGAATGCGATAATTGATTAATTTTACATTAGTGTTACTTGTTTCAAGCTGTTCTATCCTCCCTCTCGAGGGGAAAAGTGGGGTTATAATGACTAAAAATGATTTGAGTGGAAGGAATCAACTGGGTGAATTTTATGACATCATTGTATTTTATTTGACAATGGGATGGTTTGTTCATAAAAAGGCCATTTTATATAATGGCGCGATAAAACTTCTCATAAAGCTTAGTAGGATTCTTGTGATAACAAAGAACTCCTAGTGCTTTCTTAGATTTTGTCCAATGGACTTGTATCCTATGCTCAGCATCATCAATTTTACCATTTAGTTTGTAGAATTGATTAGAAACACTTAAACTTTGTGACTTGTGGTATGATTTGCTTTTCAAACTTCACCTCCTAGTTATTTCCAACTTTCCTTCTACAAATTTGCAATGCATGTAATCCATCTTGCTCCTACTTAAGCCAAAGTTTGACGAGCTAGCACTTAGAGATTTTCTCTTGCATAGGCATGGTTAGAACATTTAAAACCAATTCAAACAAATAATGGCCCAAGTATAATCCTTGATGTAAACCAATTCTTATAGGAAAATTCTTTGTTTCACCCCTATCATCCTCACATTAGTTGATGCTCCCTCATTTATATCTTTTATAGCTTTAATATGAGCAACACATACATCTTTCTTTTCTAGAGATTTTTAAATCACATCTCTTGGCACCTGATCATAAGTTTATCCCAAGTTAACAAAAATCATATGCAAGTCTTTTTTAATTGTGCTCCAGTACTTCATCAACCCCTTTGAGAGATAAAGAGCCTCCATTGTTGATCATCCTTGCATATGTCCAAATTAGTTCTTTGAGATAAAGGTCTCATTTCTTAGTATGTGCTCATTACTCTTTCCTATAATTTCACACAGCAACAACAAACCTTATTCTCCTTGGTGGGCCTGACTACATGATTACACAGCACTATTATGGTCTATTAATTACCAAGTTTTTGGGTATATTGTCAACCAAAAGACCTCTTTTAACTAGTTCCTTGCGTGTTCTCTTTGGTTTTTCTTTGCCCCTTTTTTATAGACTCAACACTATTTGTTTCTCTCTTCTCATCGGTGCCTTCTGGTCTTCTCTATATATGTCCAAATCATTTCAAACAATTTTCTACAAGCTAGTCCTTAATTGATGCCACATCTACTTTTTATTGTGTATGCTTAGTACGGATTTCTTCTTTTGTGTGTCCATACATTTATCTCAATATCCTCATTTATGTTTTTCCAATTTTATGATCTTGTTGTTTCTTTAAAGTTTAACATTTACTACCATATAACATGATTGATCTTATAGCAATTCGATAAAATTTTCCTCTAAATTATTAGATACCTTTCAATCATAAATAACTCCTGTAACCTTTTTCCATTTGAACTACCTAGCTTATCTTTTGTTAACATGTCCGTCAATTTCACCATCATTTTTGAAATTATTTTGTGTATTTCATTGAGGAAAAAGCTAATACATATATCGGTGATAATAGGAGAGAATGGATCTAATTAAATCCCTAAACTCTCTAATAATATAAAAGCTAATTAAATCCATAAATTAGTAACATTATGATGTAATCCAAAAAATGAAAAGTACGTCTAGATATATTAGCGGGCTTGAAGCCCAAAATATGAGGGCCTACATCCAATGCTCCCCTTCAAGCTAATGAGCAAATGTAGGCCATTCCCAACTTACTTCTAAATGCTTCAAACTTTTCTCAGGATAATGGTTTGTCATCACATCTACAATCTATTGCCCCAAAGGAATATATGATAGATCAATGGCTTTTGTATTAATTTCTCTTTGATAAAATGCTGATCAATCTCCACATGTTTGGTACGACCATGGTGGACCAGATTGTTGGCAATCTTCATTGTAGACATGCTATAAACCATGCTTTATTAGGTCCAAGAAGTCTGACAATCCATATTCCTTCACAAGTCCCTAGGGCAAATGTGCTATATTTAGACTTAGCAGAGATTCTTGGAACCACTAATTGCTTCTTCCTTCACCAAGTCACTAAGTTGCCCTACATAAGAGCAATAGCCAGTAGTAGATTGTCTTTCTACCTTTGAACCAGTCTAATCAGCATTTCTGAACAATTTTATATCTTGAGTGTCACCTTTTGTGGAAAAAAAAGCCCAGTATTGTAGTCTTCTTTAGATGCCTAAATTTCCTGTAAATAGCAGCCATAGGTTCCTTTTGAAAACAACTTGAGAATTGGCTAAGTGCACTCACAGGGAAACAAATGTCGGGTCTAGTATGAGATAAATAAATTAGTTTGTCTACCAACTTCTGACATCTTTCTTTATTTACTGCAGTCCCATCATATTTGATGGTTAATTTTTGAGTCAACTCCATCGGAGTATTTGCAGGCTTTGCTCCCAATGTCCCCGTTTCCTTTAATAGATCCAGGGTGTATTTTTCGCTGTGACACACTAATTCCCTTGTGCGTTTGCAACACTTCCATACCTAAGAAGTATTTCAAGGATTCGAAATCTTTGATCTCAAATTTTGTTGCTAGGTTGGCCTTTAGTTTGGCAATTTCTCTATCATCATTTCTTATCAGTACTGTGTCATCAGCATGCACAATGAGAGCTGTTATTTTATCACCACAATGTTTAACAAATAAGCTATCATCTACCTGGCATTGTTTGTATCTCTAGGCTTTGACAACCTAAGTAAATTTCTTAAATCACACCCTTGGTGACTATTTTAGGCCATATAGGGACTTGATCAACTTGCAAATCTTGTGCGAATTGTTAGAATTTTATAATCCCAATGGGATCTCCATATAAACTTCTTCCTCAAAGTTGCCACTGAGGACTACATTTTTAACATCAAGTTGATGCAAGGGCCAATGTAGATTTGCAGCAAGAGATAGCAAAACTTTTACAGAGTTAAGACTAGCAACGAGAGGAAAAGTTTTCTATTAATTAATACCACAAGTTTGAGTAATGCCCCAAGCAACCAATCAAACCTTATATTTGTTCATACTCCCATCATGGTTATGCTTCACTGTAAAGACCCATCTACTACTTACAATTGAATTCCCTTTAGGCAATTGGCTAGTGTAAGTCTTCAAGATTCTCCTTAGGTGTAGATACATAGTTATGTATTGGTATGGAAATGAGATCTCCATTTTGGTGTTGCTCAATAGAACTATTTGGTACTTCCACCTTAGTCTTGGTGTCAATAAGGATATTGAGAGGTTCAAAAGAATTTGTATCCTGAAATCTGGATCTGTTTGAGCAATTTCTGGAGCTTGGAGAATTTGATTTGATGACTTTAGAATTGTTTGGAGGCTCCATGGTTGAATTATTGTGATTTAAAGAGGCATTTGTGGGTAGTTTTAGTGATATATGGTGTCCATGTGGTTTAGTGTGGTTTAGAGAGGTCAGGAAAATTGTTATGATTTGTGGTAAACAAATTGACCATTCACTTGTTTCTTTCTCCCCTTGAATGGATGATTTGTGGAAAGAAGGCTGGTGTTCAACAAATTTGACATTCTTGGTGATGTACAAGCGATTTGTAATAGAGGAATAGCATTTATACTCTTTTTGAGTAGAGGAGTAACCTAAGAACACACACTTGATGGCACGAGAGTTTAGCTTCCCCTTAGCCTTGTTGTACACAAATGTTATGCACCCAAAGACCCCTTTTCAGTTTTGTGTGAGATGGGAGTTAGGATAGATCTCGAGAAATTTTTGAAGAGGGTTTTGAAAATTTAGAGTCTTAGAGGGTAAACAATTAATTAAGAAGGCAAAGGTAAGAATAGCATCCCCTCAAAATCTATTAGGAACATTACCACCAAGCACAAGGGCTCGTGCAAATGTCTAGTTTTCCTTTCAGATATATCATTTTGTTGGGGAGAATAGGCACAAGGTGTTTGATGGTGTATCCCATTTCTTTCTAAATAGTTTTTGAAGTTGGAGTTCAAATATTCTCTTTTGTTATCCCTTTGGAGAATTTTATTTGATGGTTGAAACTGATCTTTAATGAAGGCATGAAAATTTTTCAAAATTGTGAAAACTTCAGATTTCGCTTTCATTAGAAAAAGCCATGTTACCTGAGTATGATTATCAATAAACATTAAAAACCATTTGGACTTAGAGTTGGTTTCAAATTTAAGTGGACCCCACACACCACTGTGGATGAGAGAAAAGGGATGAGTAGGAGTATACTTGTTTAAGGAAAAAGAGGTTCGAACTTGTTTTGCAAACTTGCATATATTGCAATGAAAATTAAAAATGGCTTTATCATTGACATATGCGAACAAAAATTTTATATATTAAGGACTCGGGTAGCCTAACCTTGAGTGCCACAAAGCAAGATCAGTACTGGTCATAGCTTAATAAATATTATTTGATGAGGATTTGTGGATATATTAGAGCCCATTCAACTCTCTAGCATCGTCAATCATTATCCCCAAGGCCAAGTCTTGAAAATCACAACCATTGTGGTCTAAAATTACTAGACAATTTGCTTGAGCCATGATACAACTTGCATATAATAGACTATACTTAATAGTCAGAACAAACAAAACCTTTGTCAAAATAGTATGTTTAGAAATTACTATGGTTTCAGAACTTATGACTTTTGCATGTTTATCATTAGCTACTTCAACAAATTTGCAGTCAAAGATTCATTGAAATCAGAAAATAATTTTTTGAACCTTGTTATGTGATTTATAGCACCAGAATCCACTCCAAAATATTTTTGGGTGTTATTATCCCAGCAAGAGCTTTGGCAAGGGTAGTATCTGATTGGGCCAAGGTTACCGAATGAGTTTTGGCCTCACATACGTCCTAGTATTTTCTGAAGAATAGATAGCTTCTCAGCACTCTATGTCCCACTTTTGGAATCTGGAATACTCACAATAAGCCCTTTTTCTTCACCCTTAGCCTTATTTTTGAAATTTGGAGGCTTATCATGTAACTTCGAGCGGTCATCCTTGGCATGACCACCCTTATTGCAATGGTCACAATACTTTCTTGATTTCTTTCCCGTTCATATCTCCTTGGGTTCCTTGGACAACAAGTGGAGAGGCATCTTTTGTAAGAGAATTTGGTACAGTGGAGCTTTGAGTCAATACTTTCCTACACTCCTCGCATCGCACCATGTTAAAAGTTTCCTCCAACATGGGAAGGGGTGTCATGCTTGTAATTCGGCCTTGGATATCTTCAAAAGTATCATTGAGGCTTACCAGGAAATCATAGCATTGTTTTTGATCAACTAGTTTTTTTTATAACAAATGTCATCCTTGTGACAAGATCACTTGTAGATCTCATAAAGATCAATTCTCTGCCAGTATTTCATTAGAGCAATAGAATATTGGGTCATAGATTTGTCATTCTAAAGAAGGCTTCTAAGGGAACGTCTTACTTGGAAATTGGCAGTCATATTTTCTCAAACAAAATAAGTGTTTTTAGCTGACTCTCAATTGTCCTTGGTGGTGGTTGCAAGCAAATAATTCTTGCTTATTTCAATTGTCATGGCAATGTCTTAAAAGCCGGATTGGATGTTGAATCGAAAATTCAGTGGTTCTCAATTTTGATGGTTTAATCAGTTTAATCAACGGTTGGACTGGTAATGTAATAATTACATAATATAAAATGTCTATATAAAATAAATATAAGAAAAAAATTTAATAATATGTTAATAAAATGACATAAGATGAGTGTAAATTAATAATATTATAAATTATAATTTTATAACTTGTCAAATATAGATGGATTTTGGTTAAATTAGATATGAGTAGATTCAGAAGTATCTATATTTGCACCTATAACTATCAATATCTTTATAAAAAAAATGGTTTTAAATGATAATTTATACATGTGAATTATCCAAAAATAACGTTGGCTTTTGGTAGGATCTAATTTTTGAGTTTTTTTTAAGCTTGTTTTAATATTATGTTTTAAATTGTCCGGTTTTCTAAAAACTACTCTAGTTTCTTGTTTAACTCTAGTTTCCGGCTTAATAGCGGTTCAACTTTGGTCTGATCCGGGTCAATCATGAAAATGGTTTTTTAGTCCAAACTGAGCCGTGAATGGCTCCAATCCATGGTTTGACTGTTCGGTTTTTAAATCACTGTGTCATGGAGTTCACAAGTCAGGACATCAAGCAAGACATCATACTGGGTATTTATAGGTGGTGGTGGAGGAGGAATGCTTGTGAGATATTCTCTTTGAACCATCAGATTGTTCTAGGACTGTTGTAGATAGTTATTCCCATGCAAACGATGAGCAATCATGATTTGGGAGAATGCCTTGGGAGCTAACATGATTGTTCTAGGGAATAGAGTAGAACCCTTTGATCCACTGTCAATAATTGGACCTTTTGACCTATTGTCTCTGGTCGCGCCCTTCAACACAAATTAGTCGAGTTTGTCTTGCTCCTATTGCCTATATGAAATGTTTGTGGTGATGGATTTTTGACAGTGCCTACATGGGACATTAGAATAGAGGGGGTGGAAAAAGAGAAAGTCAAGAGAGCTGAGATGATGGCTTTAATTACCATGAAGTTTTTTTTTGAGTAATTTTTGTGTATTTCATTGAGGAAAAAGCTGGTATATGTATAGGTGAAAATAGGAGAGAATGAATCTAATTAAATCCCTAAACTCTTCTAAAATCTATAGTAATGTAAAAGCTAATTAAACCCAAAAATTTGTAATGTTATAGTGCATTCTAAAAATGGAAAAGTAGGTCTAGAAGTGTTAGTGGGCTTGAAGCACAAAATACGAAAGCCTACATCCAACAATTTTGAATAATGGCTCTCAAATATTTAAACCTTTACATTTGTGGTGTGATTTGATCTCTTAATCTTACTTCCAAGTTACTACTAACTAACTTTTTATCAAAATTGCAATGAATGTATTTTGTCTTACTTTTACTCAACTGAAAACCTTCAACTCCAAGGTCCTTATCTATAACTTAAGTTTGGGATTAATCTCTTTCTCTTTCTCTCTTTTTTTGACTGTGAGAATTATATTATCCACAAGAAAGTATGCAATTGGAGATTTCCTCTTTAATATGCTCAATTAAAATATCTAAAACTAATTCAATTGAGTAAAGGCTCAAAGATGATCTCTGATATAGGCCAATCCTTATAGGAAAGTTCTTTGTCTCATCGTCAGATATTCTTATATTAGTTGCTGCCCCTTCATACATATCTTGTATCATTTTGATGTAAGCAGCTTGAACTTCTTTCTTTTTTAAAGCTTTCCAAAGTACTTCCAAAGTACAATTATAAGCTTTTTCCAATTCAATGAAACCATGTTTGAGTCTCTGCCTTAGCTTTGATACTTTTTTTATTAATCTCCTCAATAAATATGTGGCTTCTGTTGTACCCATTCTTGGCATGAAACCAAATTAGTTCTTAGAAATACCATTCTCTAACCTCAACCTATGTTCAATCGTCCTTTCCTACAATTTTACTATATGATTTATACGTTTAATTTCTTTGTACTAAAGCGTTTAAGAACTAAAGTGCTTCTCCTCCATTCTTTAGGAATTTCCTTGGATTGTAAGATGTCGTTTAATAACTTAGTTAGCTGCTCCCTCTTCATCTAAATATTTCCATGCTTCAATAGAAATACTGTCAGCTTTGGTGGCTTTATCATTTTCCATTATCTTAAGTGCTTCCTTAGCCTTGCTATTCCAAATCCTATGATAACATGTTCTCCTTCTCGAGTTACTAAATCCTCCAAGTCACTAAACGAGCGCCCTCTATCATTGAAAATCTTGTAAGAGTAGGTTTCCCATATGTCTTTAATATCTCCAACTATAACCAAAACTTGTCCTTCTTCATCTTTCTTCATCCTTTACATATCTTGTTCCAAATTTCTTGATTTTCTTTCTCTACTTTATGCAATCTTATAAATTTTCCATTCTTCATCCTTTGTTCTTAAACGCTTTTGTACATGCTTTATATAATGCTTTCTCAGCCTCTTTCCTAGCCATACCATATGTTTCCAATTTTCAGTGTTACTTCACAAACGTATGCCTTTAAAATTCTCTCTTTTATGGTTGGCTTTTTCCTATACGTTTTCATTCCACCTGCAAGACTTCTTATCCCAAAACTTTTTGATTCTTCCAAAATTTTTATAGAAACTTTTTTTATTTTCTTAGCCATATTCTTTATTGTTAAGCACCCTAAAACCAAAACCACCATGAGCCCTTGCATAATTACCTACCTCCTTATCGACATGACTATTAAGGTCTCTTCCAATTAAGATTTTCCCACCTTTTGGTATGCTTTGAATCAACCCCTCTACCTCTCCCCAAAACAATTCTTTAAGATGGGCTTCTACCCCTACTTGAGGGGCATAAGCACTAATAATATTGTGAGCATCACGTCTAATGATTATTCTTGAAGAAATAATTTTGTCTCCAAGGCTTTTAACTTCTACCACATTCTCTCTTATCAGCAATAATATCCACCCCATTCTCTATGCTTACTTTGCTTGTGCACTAAAGTTTGAACAATTTGGGTTATTCTCTTTGTTCTTGTAAATAAGTACCAAAGTACTTCTCCATTCATCTGACGTTTCCTTTAATCACTGAATCTCATTGAAAAACTTAAGTGAGCTAAAAAATGTCCTTATCTCTTAAACACTTCCACAATTCAATAGGAATACTGTTAGGGCTCATGACTTTGCCATTGTCCATTTTCTTAAAGGCTTCTTTAACTTCTCTGACTTGAATTGTGTTAAAATGTCAAATTTTGTTCACTTTCATGGATTTTTAAATCTTCCACATCTCCATTCGGCCCCAATTCATTATTGAAAAATTTATAGACATAGTGCCCCCCCTGTCTTCCATAGCTTCATTTGTGACCAAAGCATTTCCTCTTTTTATCCTTAATACATCTGGCTTGGTCCAAATATCTTATTTTCCTTCCTTATTCTTTGCAATTTTATGAATCTTTTATTCTCCATTTTTCATTCCTAAATTTTGGTAAAACTCCTCAAATGCTACTTTTGTAGACTCCCTTCTTGTAGTTTTCTATTTTATTCTATTATTATTTTAAAATTTCAGGCTTGGTCTTCTAAGTTGTTTCTTCCCTTTCAGCATCTAGGAACATTGAGGCACCTAAGGAGCTCATCCTGACCAAGCACAAAGTGTCAAAGGCATCACTGGCTTGAGCTAGGGCATCTCATGGTGTGAGGGGCACTGGACTTCTTTAGAAGGCACTTGGTTGCGTCTTCAACTGCATTGCTGGGGCATGTCTAGCACTTGAATGTCTAAATTGTCTATGTCTTCAAGCTTTATAGTACCGGTACGAAGAAAATATATTATTTTTCTTTTATTTTTAATTTTTAACTTTCATTTTTCGAGGTTTTCTAAAAATCTAAACATTTTGCTTCTCTGCTTGCATAGAATTACTTTATTTTTGGTCGAAATACCACTTCTATGTTGGTTGGAAGAAACTTAATCTTACTGCCTTTTTAATTACACCAAACTATTGGACAATTTAGATACTTTATTTCAATTTTTTTTTTTGGATTAAATAAGGAGTGTCGATAATGTTGAGTATTGACCGTGGGTATTGCCCTCTACTATATGAAAATGTGATAAACCCAAGTAACTTAATCGCGGGTATAAGAGATATTTGAGAACTCTTTGTGCTTGCATCGTGATTTGGCATGCTACTTGCAACTTACACTTTTTCCTTTGTTTTTTTTCTGTGTGACGTTTTCCTCTTTAACTCCGCCTATGTTTATAGCCGGTCCCAAGCCCGGGTAAAGGAGGAGGGTTGTGTTAGGCCATCAACAGCCAATGTAAAAATTTGTTGAATCTATCATGAACATGGACAATAGACGTTATAATGTTAATGCTAGGTCGTTGCCCGTAAGTAACGCGCTGCATGGCTCGAGTACAGTGATAAGTGAGTTAGAGCCGCTGCATCGGCGCCCGGATGTAGTGTTAAATGAGCAAGGGCTACCGCGTCATTCTGGACGCACGCGGCTAAAGAAGTTAGTCCATAAGAGCAAAATTAGATTTGGTACTTGGAATGTTGGGACATTAAATTGTAAATCTGTAGAGGTTGTAGGGGTTATGATTCAAAGGAAAATCAATATCCTTTGCTTGCAAGAAACAAAATGGCGTGGAGAAGAAGCTAAGGATATTCAAGGTTTCAAACTTTGGTATACAGGAAAAGTAAGTGCACGCAATGGAGTAGGCATCATTATAGATAAGGAGTGGAAGAAGAACGTTGTAGAAGTTAGCAGAATTGGAGACAGAATTATTTCTTTAAAAATGATAATTGGACGTGAGACTGTTAATATTGTTAGCGCTTATGCGCCGCAAGTCGGGACAGAAGCCAGTCTTAAGGAATTATTTTGGGAGGATCTGGAGGGGTTGATTCGACACATACCACAGAGTGAAAAGATTTTTATTGGAGGAGACTTTAATGGGCATGTCGGGAGGGAAGCTGGTCAGTATGCGAGGGTGCATGGTGGTTTTGGTTTTGGAGAGCTAAACAATGAAGGGCAAACTCTTCTTGATTTCTCATTGGCGTATGATTTTAAGATTGCCAATACTTGTTTCAAGAAGAGAGATGAGCATCTCATCACCTACAAAAGTGGAGCCTCAAGGTCGCAGATTGATTTTCTTTTGGTTAGGAACACAGATAGAAAACTTTGTAAAAATTGTAAGGTGATCCCTGGAGATGCTGTAACGACACAACATAGGGTCCTAGTCCTTGATGTGTGTATTATGAGTAAAATCCAAAAACGTCGACAAGTAGTAACACCAAGGATTAGGTGGTGGCAATTAAAAGGTGAGAAGCAAGATATTTTCAAGCGAAATCTTTTGGATAAAGGAATTTGGGATTCTCAGGGAAGTGCTAACATCATATGGGAGGATATGGCTAAAAAGATACGGGAGGTTGCAAAAGTAGTTTTGGGAGAATCGAAAGGTCCTGGTCCGAGAGATAAGGAGTCTTGGTGGTGGAATAATAGTGTACAGGACAAAATCAAGTATAAGAAGAACTGTTTTAAAGCCATACATTTGTGTAACAATGAGGAAAATTGGGAGAGGTACCGTATGGCTAAGAAGGAAACTAAGAGAGCTGTGGGTGAAGCTCGTTCTAAAGCTTTTGAAGAATTTTATAAGAACCTTGAGACGAAGGAAGGAGAGCAAAATATTTATAAGATTGCCAAGAGTAGGGAAAGAAAATCAAGAGATCTAGAACAGGTAAGGTGTATTAAGGATGAAGAGGGAAGAATTTTAGTTACAGATGATGAAATTAAAAATAGATGGGAGACTTATTTTTCTAAACTTTTCAATGATGGAGAGGATTCATCTAGTAACTTGGAGGATTTAGTAACTGGTGAAGGAGAACAAAATTTGTCATTCTATCGAAAAATACGTGATAAGGAGGTAAAGGAAGCTCTTAAGAAAATGGCAAATGGTAGAGCTAACGGACCTGATTGTATATCTATCGAAGCGTGGAAATGTTTAGGTGAAGAAGGGGTGAGATGGTTAACTAAGTTATTTAATGTGATTTTACGGTCCAAGAAAATGCCTGATGAGTGGAGGAGAAGTACATTAATTCCTATTTATAAAAATAAAGGAGATATTCAGAATTGTACTAACTATAGAGGGATTAAACTCATGAGCCACACAATGAAATTGTGGGAGAAAGTAATTGAGCATAGGTTGAGATTGGAGACAAGTATTTCTGAGAATCAATTTGGTTTTATGCCAGGTAGATCAACTACAGAGGCGATTTATCTACTAAGGGGATTAATGGAAAAGTATCGTTGTAAAGATAAAGATCTACACATGGTTTTTATTGATTTGGAAAAAGCTTATGACCGTATACCAAGAGAAGTGCTTTGGAAAGCGTTGGAAAAAAAGGGAGTACGGATTGCTTATATTAAAGCCATACAAGATATGTATGAGGGGGTAAAAACTAGTATAAGAACGCCTAGTGGTCAAACAAAGGATTTTCCTATAAAGATTGGGCTACATCAGGGATCATCTCTGAGTCCTTATTTGTTCAACTTGATTTTAAATGTTTTGACGGAACATATTCAAGAGGAAATCCCGAAATGTATGCTCTTCGCGGATGATATAGTTCTTATAGCAGAGACAAGAGAAGAGGTTAATTGCAAACTTGAGTTATGGAGGAGGACATTGGAGTCGAAAGGTTTTCGTCTGAGTAGAAGTAAGACGGAATATTTATATTGTAAATTTGATAAAGGACTATTCGAAAATAATTTGGAAGTAAAATTGGGAGATCAAATTATACCTCAAGTGGAAAAGTTTAGATATTTGGGAGCCATTATCCAAAATGATGGCGAAATCAGTGGAGATATTTCACATAGAATTCAAGCTGGGTGGTTTAATTGGAGAAAAGCTAAAGGAGTTATTTGTGACCGTAAGGTGCCTAATAAACTTAAAGGAAAGTTTTATCGTACTGCTATCAGACCGGCAATGTTATATAGTAGTGAATGCTGGGCTCTAACGGGACAGCAAGAGCATAAAGTTGGAGTAGCAGAGATGAGAATGTTACGATGGATGTGCGGACATACACGTAAAGATAAAATTCGAAATGAGCACATACGTGAAAAAGTGAGGGTGGCACCTATTGAGGAAAAAATGGTAGAAAATCGGTTGAGATGGTTTGGGCATGTACAAAGAAGACCAAGGGAGGCACCAGTGAGAAGAGTGGAACATATAACTTTGAGTCCGATTAAGAGAGGTAGAGGAAGGCCTAAGAGAACACTCTTGGAAGTTGTTGAACGTGATCTCTTAATTAATAATATTTCTAAAAGCTTAATAAATGATAGAGCACAATGGCGTCTTGCAATCCATGTAGCCGACCCCACCTAGTGGGATAAAGGCTTGTTGTTGTTGTTGTTGTTGTTGTTGACGTTTTCCTCTTTAAAATCAAGCTGTGCCTGAAGTTATTCGGCTATGTATTGATAGGCTGTGCTATTGGTGGTAGATTTCCTGTTTAACATCAAGGCTCAAGCTATGCCTGAAGTTATCTGGCCATGCATTAAAAGGATTTGTTATTTGTGGTAGCTCCTTTTTGCGGTGTTCTTGGTTCATCATTCCACTCAATTGTATATGATTGACTTGGGTGACAGGGATAATGAAGGGGCCTTCAGAAATTATTGATTTATCTAGTGACGATGAATGTGATGTTGGTTTAAAAGCTGTTAAGCTGGAGTCAGATTTTGCAGAGCATGCAGAACAACAAGCTGAGTCCGACAAAGTCCAACAAGCCACTCATACCTGTTCTGCTAAACATGACTCTGAAGAGAATAGGAACTCTAGTGGCCCAACGCAAAGTACTGGTCACAGTAGCTCTAGTGTGTTGGAGCAGGGGCTGTCACCAGTTGATAACTCAGGCCTATCTTATACATCACCAATTGCTGCTGCACCCGTTTGTAGGCAGTTTTGGAAAGCCGGGAATTATGATGATGGGCTTGGTCCTAAAATCCCAGTTCAAAGTAATCTTTTTTTTTTTTTTTTTGGCCAGTAGTTCAAAGTAATCTGATAGCACTGATCATGTATTAGTACTTTACTTAGTGAGGAATGTGCATGCATTATGGAATATTTTGCAGTTGATTTACAGTAATTTTCGCTTAACTTTCATGTGGATTATAGCTTCAAGATATTAAACGCATCACGCTAAGTTTGTGTGTATTGGATTGTTTTTCAATCTGAGTTCATTAATGCAGAATGAATTTTCTTGAGATTGCAGATGCAAACCACTATCTACATGTTCACCCCGAGTTCCTTCATTCAAATGCAACTTCACATAAATGGGCATTTGGGGGTATGTTATTTTTTTTTTTAAATTGATATAAACCTATTTAGTTTGATTGCAACTTTGGATCACTGAAAGACAAACTGATTGGTTTTTGTTCCTTAGTTCTTCGAATAAGTTTGAAATCACTCATGATTCATAACTGTCAAGTTGCTGTTGGAAATTTACTTCCATATCAACAAATCGTTGGGTGTTGCATCAGCAACACTTCCATGTCTACCCTTGACATTAGTGTTTGACTAGGGTCTTATTGAAAAATAATGTTTTGTGAAGACTAGATTGAATTGATTATTTTTTAAGGTATTCAACTGATCAAATGTGTAATTTTAAGGATCCTTGGTGTAATTTAATCAGCTTATTTTCATCTTTACATTTCTCTTAATTGGTTTATTTTCTTTATAATCCTCTTATTAGTCCACCTTTTTGACCCTTTTTCTTAACCATTTTTTTTTCTTTGTTCTTATATACAGCCATAGCTGAGCTTCTTGATAATGCATTCGATGAGGTGATTTTTGTTTATATTTGAAGCACTTGCTTTTCTTATTTACCATCAGCTATTTAAGTTGGCTATTAGAATGAAAAATATTGCATTGTGTGACACTTTTGTGATATCCCCCCATTTCTAGTAATATTATCATAGTTTCTAGTACCTTACCCACCACCCCCTCCCCCCCAAAAAAAAAAAGAAAAAGGAATCTACAGTCAATTATTTTCTTATAATGTCTTTTCTTACTCTTGCGTAAAGAGTTTAAATGTATGAATTATTTATTATTGTGAGAGGTATTTTATGAAATTATGGCCACGCTAATGCAAGTACACTTTAAGGGATTGTTGGGGTTTACATGTTGATTGTTATTACTATGTTATAGAAATGTTTATGATATTATATTTTTTTTAAAGGTTATTGCATTGGTTAATGGAAAAGCCTATTTTCTTTTGCTGTTAACTTGTTACAGTGTTAATGTCGTGTTTTTTTCCCATGTTTGGTGCTTCCATTTAAACTTTTCATTTCATTTTAGTTCTTATGTTTTATTGCATTGTTGACTTTGTTCTTAGGATAGATCCAAAATGGGGCTACTTTTGTCATTGTAGATAAAACATCAAACCCAAAGGATGGAAGTCCTGCTTTGTTAATTCAAGGTATATTGAAGTTAATTGATTGTGTCGTTTTGAAACATCCTTTTAACATTGGATGTGGTGGATTGGGTATATATGTTGTCTTCGTTATTGTGATTATAAACTGATTCTTAATCAGCAGATGATGGTGGTGGGATGGATCCAGAAGCTATGCGTTGTTGTATGAGCTTTGGCTTTTCAGATAAGAAGTCAAAATTTGCAATTGGAAAGTGTATGTATGTTGACATTCTTTTTGTGAATATTTTACATTTCATGTCATATTTATTTGTCAAATCTGGCCTTCTAGATGGAAATGGCTTCAAAACCAGCACCATGAGACTCGGTGCTGATGTCATTGTCTTCAGCCGTCACCTGAATAAGGGGTAAGAGTTTATAATTGAAAAGTTTATTAGATGTAAATGTATTTTTGCAGTACATGTGACCGAGATGCTCTTTCCATTTATTTAAGGTTAATCGTAGTTCTGATTGGAAAATGAAATTAATCACCCCTTCAATTTTTATTCATTTAAGCCTTGCTGAAGGAGTTAAATTGTGTAGTGTTTCAGAACATTGGAATTGTCATCTACTTTAGAAACAAGAATTTGAGCATGTTTCTCAAGGCTGTTGCCTGAAACCTTTGCATTCTATGTACATATATCATCAAATTCTAGTTGGCTCTCCCTCTCTCTCTCTCTCTTTTTCTGTGTATTGTTCTCCATTCCTCACTCAGTCACAAAGATGGTGTTTTCTATCAGTGTGGGAAAGATGAACAAATGTTGAAATTATTGTAAATAATTATGTACGTGTTATAAACTCACTGTTTGTTCTTGATCAGGGTTATGACTCAGAGCATTGGACTTCTGTCTTTTACATTTTTGATGCAAACAGGGCTTGACAGAATAGTAGTACCTATGGTGCGTGGTATTTCTCAAGTTCTCTACTCTAATGCTGTGGGTTTTGGAAGTACATCAACTAAGAATAATACTTCTGCTCTTCATGTTGATTTTTAACTTGAGGAATTTAGAATTTTAACTGGGTAAGGACTGGAATTTGTTGATGGTCTATGTTAAATTACTTGGCTACGGTGTTGCTGCTTACATCTGCTTGAATTGGCAAATTTCACTTTTTGTTCTTCTTTTGCTCGGCAGTTAACTTGAATGGTTTGTTCTGGGCACTTGTCTTTTGACCTAGTATTATTAAGCTGGATGCTGCAAGGCCTAATATATTGTTTTTTTCCTGTCTGTCAATCATTTTGGTTGTTTGAAACATTCTGTTGGGCAGTTGTGCTGCAACTACTGCAGTCACACTAGCCCAAGATTGACAGCCACAAGAATGTACAATAAATCAGCGGTCACAAAAAATGCAAACGGAATCTCTTAAGATATGGACAATGGAATCTTGTTGGAAAAACTGTTTGTAACGTGCAGTCTTTCCTATTGTCTTACATTCTATATGACAGAAGGTGCAAGTATCTGTGTATAACAGAAGGTGCAAGTATCTGTGTATGCATGTCTGTCAGTCTGCGTGCACATCTATAGAGAGATGGGATAGACTAATATTAGAGGAAAACATGGTAGCACCTTTTAGATGACCAGCTTATAATGTAACTACTGGAAGATGACATGATAACTTCTAGAACGCTTATTGTACAAAAACTAATTTTCATTTCAACATTTGTGCTCTGGTCCCTTGAATGACACTTTTTTCAAATGATTCTGTTGTTTCCATGTCAATTTCAGGTTAGTTATGAGTTTAATACGTCAACCAATATGCTCGAAATGTTAAATGGTAGAGAACATTTTATGTCCAATTTATCCATGCTGTTAAGGTGGTCTCCGTATTCATCAGAAGCAGAACTTCTGAATCAAGTAATTTCTGAGCCTTCCTTCCTCCAATAATACTTTTGAGATAAAGTTGAATAGTTTTCATTTTTAGTCTTTCTTTGTTGTTGTCCTGGTCTTTCTCCTGTTCTAAACAATGCATACTTTTAGCTTAGAAATATAGTTTATGTTCTTTTGAGTCTTTTATTTTTTTTTTTTATGTTAAACTAGAGGGCACATGTGCATTGTATGGATCCTGATATCATGGTCACGATGACTTTCTTGAGATGTTTAGATTTGCCTTCAATGTTAGAGAGGAAAACCAGAGGTTCCCTTTATAGGATCTTATAGTTTTTGTTTGATTGATCAGCTGCAGCTCATGGCTTTTATTAGAGTGTTTGTGATTTGATATACAAGGACACTGGAGAGATGTTCGATGACATGCTCTATCTCTTCTTCCTAGTGCTTTTAGAGTGCTTTGGCGCATGGTATAATATATGTACTTTCTACTACTTATTAGATTGTTTATTTGACTAGAAATAGAAACATTAGTGGTTGAGGTAACCAAAATGCATGTTTATCCTTTAGAGGAGTCCCTCCACACAAGCAGCATCAGATTGATTTCTTAACTGAAATCATTGATAGCCATGGCGCTTCTTAAGAGGCAAGTTTACTTCTAAGCTTGCCATTTCCATGGCTCTCTTTGGTCTGCGTTTATGATTTTGTTTGGCAGTAACGATCCAATGAGATAGAAACACATTGAAGAATGGGGCTCTCATTGTAGCTTCAAGTATGTTATATTAGTGCAGATTTCACATGCCTGGTGTCTACAATGTAAGGCAGAAACTCTTGGATGAATATGGTGCCCTGTTTCATAATCTTCTTATTCTCCTGAGAGGTGGTTGCTACTGTTGTACTAGTCAAGATTTAAAGGAAAATTTATGTACATGGTCGCTCTTTTGTGGTATGCCATCCTGTTTAAATCTTGCTGGTTATATTACCTATGATGAAACTACAGCTTCTTTGGTATAGAGATGGAAGAGTAATCCATCACCAATGCACTTAATTTTTTTTTTTTTTTGGGGCAATGTCTTGTGTCGTTGTCATCATTATTTAACAACTTTGGTCCTTTTGTATTACTTCATGGAAGTAGGGATGTGCTGATTGTTCCCGTTCACAAAATCACTGTCTATTTAATTTTTCTTTTCATTCTATTCCATGTTGTGCACTGAATGACCGTCACTATATTCTGATTAAAATGGAACAGGTAGAAGGTCAACCCATTTGACCTCATTTACATTATATTATCATTTCAAGAATATGAGTATTGGCTAAATTTATCCTGTAAAGTAATTAGTGTAAGATGTAAATTTTTTGTAATGTCTATGCTGTTTTGCTACATTAAGAGCATAATCATTTTAGGATTTTGATTTACTCCAACTGCTCCACATTCTCTGGCAGCTTGACGATATTGGACCTCATGGTACTAAAGTCATAATCTACAATTTATGGTTCAATGACGATGGCAATCTGGAGCTAGATTTTGATAAGGACCCTGAGGTGGGATCTGCTGTTGGTTGGTTTTCCTGTTTTTACCTCGTTCCATTTTATATGGATTTCCTTTGATATATGTTGGGTGCAGGACATTTGTATTGCCGGGGATATTAAAAAAGTTGACACTATTCCTGCCTGGAAGACAGTTAATGAGCAACACATTGCTAATCGGTTTAAGTATTCTTTAAGGGTATGCTTGAATAAGATATTTTTTCCTTCAATGGCTGTGTATGATGATTTTTTTTTTTTTGTTTCTGAGTCTATTTTTATTTTTTTATTCTGTAGGTTTATTTGTCTATATTGTACCTGCGGGTGCCAGAAAGTTTTAGAATTATACTGCGAGGGCAAGGTGTGGAGCCCCATAACATTGCTGATGATCTTAAATTTCCTGAATATATCTTGTATCGACCAAGTAGTGGTGGATGTAAAGAGGTTGTTATCTTATTTTTGAAAGCCTTTTCACTATTGTCTTCAACTTTGTTGAAAGTGTGTCAATTGCATGCTTGTGCCTATGTCGATATGAGTAATTTGGGCATTATATCTCAAGGGATAATTGAATTGACCGGACTCTTCACACAGTAATTAACTCTTTTTTTAAAAAATTATTTTCTAATGAATTATCTGTGCAGGGAACGGTTGTGACTACAATAGGATTTCTTAAAGAGGCTCCACATGTTAATATCCATGGCTTCAATGTATATCACAAAAATCGGCTGATACTGGTAATTATCACCCAAAATGTATTGTCTAGTTTGAGGCAACTATTTTATGGTGTAATTGAGTAGTTGTTGGATGTCAATGAAATAGTTTGCTGAATGAACTAGTTATGTTTTCACCATGTGGAATGTGCGTATATCACAAGAAAACATACAAGTCTCTATCCCACTAGGTGGGGTCAGCTTAATGTCCATATCCATGTGAGATACGGCAAGGTTTTTACACGGGTGCTGGTTTTCTGATGCAATTAGAATGACAGGAAAATAATTTATGGGTAAACATAACTTTTGGCCCCTATACTTTACTCGCGTTTTGCTTTTGATCTCTATATTTTTTTTTTGTGTGTTTTAAGTCCCTACACTTTTGTTTTCCATTGTTTTGGGTTCTTTCAAGGTTCCTATACTTTGTTCATAAAGGGACCAAAAATAATGGAAAGCAAATGTGTAGTGACCTAAAACATCGAAAAAAAAGAATAGCGACTAAAAGCAAAACACGAGTAAAGTATGGAGACCAAAAATTATGTTTACCCATAATTTATTTTATTGTGTGCTTGTCTTTTTTGTTTAACCTGTAGGAGACAGGTAAAGCTAATTAGGAACGATCTGTTCTATGGCTTGCAAAGAGAGTGGAATATCTTTCTTACTGTACAACAGTGTTTGATTTCCACATTTAGCAAAATTTATTGATTTGATTTTGTGGTAGAAGAGTTTGGTATTCGCTGGATTTTTTTAAAGCAATTATGTTGTAATAAAGAAGGAAAAAGGGTGCTTTTCTCCCTCTTTAGAAAATTAGTTTGTCAAACTATGCTGACAACAAAATTTCAAGTGATTTATATTTATTTTCTTTACCCTCAACATAGATTTGCTACCTTGGTGCTTCTATTTTTGCAGCCATTTTGGCAGGTTGTGAGCTATTCTGATAGCAGGGGTAGAGGAGTGGTTGGTAAGCAGTAACTGCTGCTTGCTCCATGTTTTTTTGGGGCTAAGGTTAGAGATATTCTGAACCTGTAGAGAGCTGATACCTTACTGTTTAATCTCATTCCTTCCAGGTGTCCTACAAGCAGATTTTATCGAGCCTATTCATAATAAACAGGATTTTGAGAGAACTTCCTTGTTTCAGAAGCTTGAAATTCGCTTGAAGGAAATGACATGGGAATACTGGTATAGTTTTTTTTTTTTTTTTTATTCTTATCTGTTGCTGCTCTTTATATGTGGATTGCAGAAATAATTATTTTTGCCTGTTCTGTCTTCCCCTGGCCTTCATTTCTCTAATTCTGCAAACATGTTTGAATGTTTAGTATGATAACTGTGTACTATACCCTGCTGTAAAGATTCGGCTCTTGTGGATACTACTTGGAAAGCTTGCTTATTTATATTTTGTTCTCAGCAATTCAGATGTACCATTTAAGAGAAAAAAAGTCTTATTAAATGTGAGTTAAAAACACTTGTAACTATGTCATCAAAATCAATGAGAGGTAGTTAAATTGTTGATGATGTCTGAAAAAGGAAGAAATTTTCTAATTTATCCTTATTAAATGTATTATCTTTAGAAACACTTTCTCTCATATAACGTTTTATTCTCTATTCATCAAAAATTGTGAAAGGGTAAAATGGAAGAAAGTAATTAATGATCCACTTTTTATGCAAAGTCACTTATAAAAAAGACCATAAATTCCTTCTAGATTGTTAGAAGGTGACTTATAAATAGATTGTTTGAGTGATTAGTGGATTTTAGAAAATAAAAATACCATGTTAGCACCTGTATGTATATGAAGGATGTGTAATCTGAAATTATGCTATGCTTAATGAAATTCAGAGTACTATTCAGAAATTCTCCTCTCTATCTCTCTTCTCTATTCCTGTCCTCTCTGCTCACTTCTTTCTTTTCTTTCTCCTCTTTCTACCACTACACATCATACTATCTGACATTTTGAGGACTCTTCTTTAATTTCGGCAGGGATTATCATTGTGGACTTATTGGATATCAAGTAAAAAGGAAGTCTCCATTACTGCAACTGGAATATCTTAGCCACCCACCTGGTATAGAAAAACCGCTCACAGTGGACAGAAAAATTTCACCTGTTCTTAGTAAAAAGGCAGCATTGCAAAGCGGATCTCAGCAAGGTAACTGCTTAAGTTTGAAACAAGATATTACATCACTGCACTGACTTATTTTTATTGAATGATTTCTTAATGGTGATTCAGGATCTCGTACCAAGAGAAAGACACATGAATTGATAGACGTTCCGGATATAAAAAAGCATGCAAGGAGAGAAAATGAAATAACTGGTGTAGCGTGCAGTCATGATAACATACAGGTCTGTATTGATAACTTGTATACAAATTTTGTTGATACCGAGCTAGTTACCTTCATTCATTCTAATTTAAAGCGCATGTACCTCTGAATATCATTAGTTTTTCTTTAAATTTGAACTGCAATCAGTTAGTGGATGTCATTTCAAAACCAATACTTTTTTCCCCAAAAGGCAAATCCCTTTAAATAATGAAACCGATTAGCTTGTCTACTTACTCATTGCAATCATTACATGTCATAGAAAAAATAGACTATTTTCCTTATAGTTCAAAGCAGTGCCTTTGAATTGAAATACCAATCCATTCTATTAATTTGCTTGATTTCCTTGGCCATTGTGAAACCATCTCATCGTTAAATTCACTCATGTTTTCTAATTTCTATGTAGACCATGTCAGCACCTGCAAGATTAGTGGGGGACCAAGATACTATATATTTGATGGAAGAGAACAAGAAACTCCGTGCAAAGTGAGTATACCCTAATTATATTTTTCAGTACGACTGTTGGCAACATTCTCGGTCAACTGTTTAGCATATAACTTGATTTCTTTATTTTCCCCTTCCTTTTTGGTTATTTGGCTTTGTCAACTTCTAACGAACTAACGGTTGTCTTGAATTCTGAATTTCATGGCAAGTATATGAAGCATAGAACTTACTCTTCCACCCTCTCCTTTCTTTTCCCTCTCTCACAGATGTTTGCAATTTGAAAAGGAGGAGCAAGAACTTAATCTAAAGGTAAATTCTTGCAAACTAAAATGGTTCAGTGTCTTGCTTGAGTGTTGCTCTCTAATTTCAAGGTTTTTTTACTTTTTCTTTTTATCTGTTTTTTTTTTAAATATTCAGCTTCTCCATATCTTTGCTATCATATATTTATTTTTACGAATCAGCATTGTATTATTGTTTCTTTCAAAGGATTTGACACGCCATAAGTTTATAAAAGACCCTGATGGTAAAGATATAATAGATGGCAATCAAATTTATTTCGTTATCTTTTACCCCAACCTTTGAAAGGAAAAGCTGTTCATACTTCTGCTGTACTTGGTTGAAGTTTATTATACTTGTATCCTTTATTGCAACTGCAGACGGTACAACAGTTGCATGGTTTCTTGTGACTAGGAACTAACCAAGTTGTTTTTGAGCTATATATATTCGTGATGGCCTTTTGTGCATGGACTTGGTTGAAGCTAGTTATTAAGCTTATTAAGCTGGTTAAGTAAATGAGTTGAGCTTGAAAGTTTGATCTTGGCTTGCTAAGCGCAATACCTAAGTTATCATTATAAGTATTATTTTTTTTTTATTTTTTATATTTTATTTTATATAAAATTATATATAAAATACAATCCTCTATATACCATCAAAGGATTACATATAAAAAATCACAGTTCACTATACTTTTTAAAGTTTAACTTGTATTTGTGCATGTATGTATATTTGATTGAATGTGTGTTAAGATTAAAAATCTTAAGCACCGACAATTGTTAAATCTAAGGATTAGGTGGTGGTAGTTAAACAGCAAGAAGTGGGAAATTTTCAAGAGAAATTTTTTGGACGAAAGAATTTGGAAGTTTCAGGGAATTATTAACATTTTGTGAGACAATATGACTAAGAAGGTAAGAAAGGTTACTTAAGAAATTTTGGGAGAATCAAAAGGTTTTAGATCGAAATAAAAAGAGTCCCGGTGGCGAAATGAGAAGATATAGAAAAAAAATCAACCATAAAAGAAAGATTTTAAAGCCATACATTTGTGTAAGAACATTGAAAATTATGAAAGGTATCTTATGGCTAAGGAGACTAAGAAAGCAATGAGTGAAGTTTGTGCCAAAGCATTTGAGGAACTTTACAAGTATTTAGGAACAAAGGATGCAGAATGTAAAATTTAAAAGATTGCAAAAATTAGGGAAGGAAAATCAAGGATTTTGGACAAAATGAGATGTAAAAAGGACGAAGGAAAAAATATTGGCTGTAGATGGAGATGTTAAAGACAGATGGGAGGCCTATTTTTACAAGCTTTTCATGATGAAGGAGGCTTGTCTAGTAACTTGAAGAATTTAGTAACTTAAGAAGAACATAATTTGACATTTTATTATACAATTTGTGATAGCCAGGTTAAGGAAGTTCTTGAGAAAATGGAAAATGGTTGAGCTATTGAGCATAATATTATTCCTATTGAATTGTGAAAATGTTTAGGTGAAGAAGGGATGCTGTGGCTAGAGCTGGGAAAATAGGTTGAGCTCACGGGCTAACCTGTTCAACCTGTCAAATTCGATAGGTTGGGTTGAATTGGCCCATTTTTTAAAACGGGTTGCGCCCAGCCTGCAAAAATGGTAGGTTAAAATAGATTAGCTCACGGGCTAAACAGGTTGGCCCGTGGGCTAGCCTATTTTTTTTTTAAATAGTATATTTTCTTATAAATATATAATAATGACAATATTTCTTAAATCTATAATTTATAAGTGGTAAATATATTCTTTACATTTGAAAGATGATGAAATCTTTCTTACAATTTGCAAATGAAATTTTTATTATAGTTTGTAAATCAATTATTTATTAGTTTTTATAGAAATATTTTGAATACATATTATTTGTTAATCTCATAAGATTTATTGATTAAAATCACAAATATAAATTCATTGAGAAAAATAATATGGATTTATATTCAAATTTTATTTTAAAAAATAATATGAGAAAAATCATTGTCTATATATATGATGTGTTAATGATAAATTTTAAAAAATAAAATTGCATTTTGCAGGCTAGCCTGTTAATGTGCGGGCTGGGTTGGGTTTTCTTAGCTCGTTTATCTTGGTGGGCTGGCCCAACCCAACATGCTAAAATGCTAACCCCGTACGGGCGAGCCTGCAGGCTGGCTTGCAGCCTGTTTGTATAGCTATAGTTGTGGCTAACTAAGCTATTTAATGAAATCATAAGGTCTAGGAAAATGCTTGAATAATAGAGAGTAAGCACTTTAGTTTGTATTTTCAAGAATAAAGGAGATATTCAAAATTGTGCAAGCTATAAAGGGATTAAGGTTATGATTCATATAATGAAATTGTGGGGAAAAGTGATTGAACATAGGTTAGGGTTGGAGATTGGTATTTTTGAAGACCAATTTGTTTTTATGTTGGGAAGGGCTACAAAAGAAGCGATGTATTATTAAGGAGATTAATGGAGAAGTGTCTAAACAAAGGCAGAGACTTGTATGGTTTTCATTAATCTAAAACAATCTTCCAATCATGTCCTAAGAAAAATATTTTAAAAAGCCTTGGAATGGAAAAGAGTTCTAGTTGTTTATATCAAAGCTGTACGAGATATGCATGGAGGGGCAATGAGTAGTATAAAGAACGTTTGATGGTGAAACAAATGACTCTTCTATAAGGATTGAGCGACATCAAAGATAATATTTTAGTTCTTATTTATTTGACCTTGTTTTAGATATTTTGTGACTCATCATATTTAAGAGGAAATCTCCAATTGCATGTTTTTTGCGGATGATATTATTTTTGTTGTGGAGTCAAAAAAAGAGATTAATTCCAAACTTGAGAAGTGGAGAAGGATCTTTGAATCAAAATGATGGTAAAATTGATGGGGTTGTTGTACATGAGATATAAGTTGGGTGGTTCAAATAGAGAAAGACTGTAAGAGTTATTTGTAATTAGAAGGTACTTAATAAATTTAAAGAAAAGTCTTATCAAAACTGTTATAATACTAGTCATTATATGGTAGTGATGTTGGGTTTTAAACGAATAACATGATTATAAAGTTAGGGTAGTGGAAATGATAATGTTGAGATAAATGTTGTCCATACATGAAAAGATGAACTCTATAATGAGCATATGCGAGAGATAGTGGGCATGACATCTATTAAGGAGAGGATGATAAAAAATCATTTGGGAGAATTTGAACATATACATAGAAAGCTGTGAGGGGCATCGATGAGGAAAGCGGACCAAATAATCTTGAGTACTGTGAAAAGGGATAAAGGAATATAAAAGGGAACACCTAAAAAAGTTGTTGAACGAGATCTTTTGATTATCAATATAACCAAAGGCTTGGTTTTTAATAAGGTATAATAGTATTGTGCAATTCATGTAGTCGACTCTATCTAATGGGACAAGACTTGTTATTATTGATGATGTATATTTGATTGATGGTACCATTTGCAATCTACCCAAGTTTGGCCTAATTAATAATCTAGACAAGTTTGATCACAATTTTTCATAATGTCTGTTTACTTGTCTAAATTTAGATTTGGTTTTTTACATTGAAGCTTGACCTGGATCCATTATTTGCCTGCCATTTCAGAGTTGCGTCATGCTTTTTGTGCAGGTGACAGAACTTAAAAGTAAAATACTAGGAACAAAACGTGAGTATGAACGACTTTTGGCAGAACTACAGTCTCTAGGCATGAAGGAGGAGTAGTATTAGCTGTGCATACTGATGTTTCAATTCTTTTGTTTGTGAAAGTGGTGTATGTATAGCAAAATGTAGTTTATGATATGACACAGTCACTGGGGCTGAGGGTTATTAGATCGAACCAAATTGCCATCCAATGTCCCACTCCGGATCTCTCTCTGGTTGAGTTGCCCTCAGAAGATTTTCTGGCCTCCCTCAATGTAAATAGATGAAAGCAAGCAACAGGTCAGATCTCCTCTTTTATCTAAATTAATATAATCTTGAAGCTTCAAGCTTGCTTTTTTATTTTATTGTTTTTCGGTTAAAGAAGCTTCATGCATGTTATGCTGGCCTGTTGGTTGTTTTTGCCTGTGTCATGTTTCATTTTAGGATGAGGCATGTTTAGAACAAAAATGAGAAATTTAAGAGCTCACATACATAAATGACCTTCAAGCTGAAAAGTAGATTGAGTTTTTTTCCCCCGTTTTCCTCCTCTATATCTTCTTCAAGCTAACAAGAGAACACATGCAATAATCCTGCTGCATCGCTGCATTTTACTTTTCCAACATGCTCTGGACAATTAGTGAAATCCACGTTGAGGGCGGTTGGGAGGGCACTAAGAAAGTTAAGCATAAAATTTTTAAAATGAGAATCAGAAATGTATTTTAGGCATTTAAGTTTTATTGGTTACTTTTAATGATTTACATTTGAGTACTCGATATTTGTGACCATTTAAAATGGTAGTTATAAAATATCTTTTGGCAATTTTTTTGGAATCTTATTGTAAGTAAATTAAACTTCATAAAATGTTGGGTTAAAGGATTAATTTAACTTGGAAATTTAAAGCCATATACAATCGATTTCTTGTAACTTTCGAAACGTGATCTTTGAAGTTTCAAAATCGGCATAATGTATGTTTATACTAATGTTTGACGAGTGTTAATCGTTAGATAAACAATTATAAGGTGACAGAGCAATTTTGTTTTGTTTGGAAAAGTAATTAGTATTTTAAAATTTTACTTATAACAATCCTGTCATTTGCTTTGAATGAGCAGTAAAGGATGCTTTAAAGAAATTTCCATCAAGTGGTAAGTAGATTCTTTTGGTAAGAACTTGAATTTAAGATGGGGTAGGTTTGACCAAGCCTCTTATTTTTACTAGGGCCCTCTTATTTTATATTTTGAAATACTAGGCCGTGGATAAAGATTTGTGCCAAAAGATGACTGATTAGGTCATGTCATAATGCAAAAGGTTCTTACGTTAGCAAAGGAATTGAAAAAGTTAGAGAATTTAAATCGTCATGCATCGCCTGGTGAACAAGCCAATTGATGCATTTATTCGTTTCTTTATTAAAAATGATTGTTTAGTCTTTCATTGTGAGGTATCTAATATTCTTTAAGATAGTAAAAGGTAGGTAATTTTGGGAGAAGTCATACTCAGTGAAAATGAGCTCTTCAAAAAAATTTAAGTTGATGTTAATTTGAGTGAGTTTACTATTCCAACAAAAGTTAAGACTTTCTTGAATGGCTCCACCTATTTTGAGTTAGTTTATGTTGTCCGTGAGAGGGTTCGAGCAAGTTTCTATTTTTACAACCACTATAAAAGGCCAAATTTTTTTCATATAGACACTGCTTTGGACTTAATAAATTATAATTTTTATATATTTTATCTTGCATTTTTTATTTACTTTAATGATAATTTTAGGCTTGTGGGTTTGTTAGATATTATTTAGATTATTGGTTAATTTTAAATAATAATATATTTTTTAAATTAATTATAGAGATTTTAGATTTGTTAATATTTTTTTTCTATGTTTATGATGGTTTAATCTTGTCAATGATCTTATATTTATTTTTTAGCTTAATTTTCTCCATCTTTAATAATATATATTTTAATTAATTATATAAATTTTGCACTTGATTTTTTTAGGTCAAAAAGATAAAATTAATCAAGTTCAATGGGGAAGTTTGAATCTTAAAAATTAAAAGAATATTCAAGGATTATAAAAAAAATAAGACAAGGGAGGAATTCTCAAAAAATTTCGGAGACACGAGAGATATTTTTAACCAAGAAAAATTGAGGATGTTTTACACTTTCCTATCCTTTTTCTTCTTGATTTTTTTTTTAATTCAATAATTTAGATTTTTCTTAAACTCTTCCTACTCTTCCAGCAGTTAGATCAATTTTCCTCTAACTCTTCTTTCTCTCTTCTTTTCAGCTTTATGCTTGAACGTTTGTTTTTCCTCTTCAGATATCACTCACGGACACCACTTCAATACCATTATGAGCCACAAAAATGACGGTCATCTTCCACCTTGACTATGCATCACTCCATCCTTCCTTCTTCCATTCTCCTTTCCAATTTCTTGCAGTGCCCACCTAACCTCTCCATTCTCCCATTCCAAAGTAATTTCCCCCCAATCTCACATTCAACCACGTTCCATCTCCTCCCATTAATCATTCAATAATCCTTCATCAAATTTCGCATAGTAGTGACTCATAGTAAGCTTGGGGGAAGAAGGAAAAATCACGTGTGCAATAGCTAGCTTGAAAGACAACATTGGATGAGCATGGAGGACTGGGATTTGCACTTGAAGATCGCATGGGAGTGATTGTCCATTTATTTTTTTATTTCACATGTTTAACATTATTTAGTCTTAAATGATTTTAAGTTGTATTGATTGAGGACAAAAAATTAGTTCTAAATTGTAAATACATTAAATCTTGTATTTGATTGATATTTGGATTGAATGTGTTAAATGACTTGCTGGAATTTATATTTATAAGACTTTTGCTTTGCCAATTATATTAATAATTGAGTTCTCATTGTTAATTTAATTGTCATTAATGTATTTGTTATGAATTCAGGACATTCTTTATATATCTTAATTTTTTAGAATTATTTTTGAATTAATTGTTATTGGTTTTAATAGGTTTTATTGGCTTAATTTATAACGTAATAGTTGGATCATTGTGAGATTTTTAGTGGATTTAATGTTAGATTTTTGTGTTTAAGGATTTTTTATGCTTTAATTGGATAATTAAATTTATTAATTTCACTTTATCATTTACCTTTGCTCTAATTAATTGAATTGGGCTAGAAAAGTTAGCTCTACGTGAAATCTTATATTGTTCTTTTTAAGTGCAATTGAATGACTATTTTTTAATTTTTTATTGTTAATTGATTCAATTGGTTAATTAATTTTTATAGTTAGCACTTTTAATTCCATTGACATAAAACTCCCAATCATTACTTTGAACTTATGCATTGCATGTAAGCATTTAGGTATTAGACAAGCATTAACATTCATATCGAAAGTTTTAATTATAGAAATTCCATTTTCTAGTTTACATTTTAGTATAAAAACCTAGCACTTAGTTTTAGATACTTTTGGCATTAATAATTAAATACCTATAACCAATTTAAGATAACTCTCAAATTGTTTCTTGAGAAGAATGATTTATAGTGATCCTATACTATATTAAGTTGATTTTAATTTAATTGAGTGTTGACACGATTTAGATATCATCACTTGCTCATGAACAAAATGAGGGGAAGTTCATGAAGTGTTAGAATGGATTTTGCACCTAGTTAATTTTGATTAAGACCTTTAGTCAAAATTTAGGAACACAAATCATTTTTTAACATTGACAATGAATTTTTGGATCTTCAAATTTGAATATTGATAACACAATTGTGCTAACCAAGTGTTTAGAATACTACTGGCTCTTTTAGAAAAACTTTGGGAAAAATGGACCTTTAATCTTGATCAACAGTGTTTAACTAATGATCAACATTACTTGAACATTATTACAAGGCAAGATTACACCATTTTAAATACTTTTGGGTAATAGTAATCCAATCAAAAGATGAATACTAAATGCACCTAGTAGAAAACTTTGTAAAACAAATTTGCCCTGTAATCCTAAAACATTTAATATTTACTATATATTGTTTCAAAATTCTTTCATCATTTTAATGATCATTATTCAACCAGATATAGAACTGCAAGAATTTAGTGATTATTCAGCATGATTTTAGTGATTATTATTCATCAAGATTCTTTTATTTCATTTGCTGTTATTTTTCTTTATCTTTTTCTAATAATTTTAATGTAATATTCCCTCTAATCTAATAAATTACTTCGAGCATCTTTTACCAAAATTAAGAAAAACTTTAAACATTATTAACTCTGTCTTAAAATTTAACAAGTTTTCACCTTTACTCCTAATAAATATTGTTAAATTTTATTAATGATATTTTTATTCAAAGCATTTAATAAGGATAAAAATGTAAAGAAGAGTATCGAAAATTGACAAATGCCCTATAAATAGGATTAAATTTTTTTATTCTCTCTCTATCCTATAAATAGGACTAGAGGAGCATTTCTTTCTTTGATTCTGTTAGCCAAATCAACTCACCCATCCAGCATTCAAGGCTTCTATATAGATGCTGCTTCTCTAGTAGCTACTGTGAAACTTAACCATGATCAGCATTAATATCCTTACACAGTAATTGGGATTGAACTCCTAAATCATACTCTCTGCAAATTCCCAAGAGAAAAACTGCTGTCTTACTTCTCAAGAGGGCAAGTAAAACAGAAGCATAGGTTTCATCTAATTTACTGATCACAGCTCCCACAAAAAAAAAAAAAAGAAAAGAAAGAAAGACTTGCATGATTTATCTTGCAACTTCTTTTTACATTATACAGAAGGAAAATTTTGTCAGAAAGAAAGAAAAGGAAAAGGAAGAAAGAAAAGAAAGAACAAGGATGCAGCAAAGCAATGCATTTGTCAGTAGTTTATAATACTGTGCAAAAGCATGACAGTCCTTTGACAGCATGAAAGGCATTTTAGACACATCATCTCATTGAACACTATAAACTCTAGTACTTCTACCTCCATCACGAGAACTAACAAACACTATCCACTCCAACCCAACTGAGAGCCGTTTCCTTGGAAATCCCTCTCTTTTTCATTATTTCCCTAAGTTCACTCACACCATTCCATTTCCCAGCAGCTGCTAAAGTGTTTGATAGTGCCACATATGCCCCAGGTCGTCCATCAGTATTCAACTTGAAAAGCTCATTTGCTGCTACTTTTGCCATCTCTAAATTACCATGGAGCCTGCATGAACTAAGTAGAGCAGCCCAAACATCAGAATTGGGTCTCTCAGGCATCCTCATGACAAAGTCCCAAGCCTCATGCAACCTTCCTGCTCGTCCTAATAGATCAACCATACAAGCATAATGTTCCATCCCTGGCTTTAGTGAGTATTCATTCTTCATACTGTAAAAGATCCCCCAGCCCTGGTCTACAAGCCCAGCATGAGCACAAGCTGATAGAACACTAAGGAATGTCACAAAATTAGGTTCGATGCAATGCTCTTTCTGCATCATCCAAAATAGATCAAGCGCTTCATTCGAAAAACCATTCTTCCCATATCCATCAATCATAGATGTCCATGAAAAAACATTCTTTTCAGGCATGCGGTCGAAAACTCTCTGAGCGTCAGCCACTCTTCCGCATTTGGAATACATGTCTATTAGAGCACTTCCTATTTTTATGTTAAAGAAAAATTGAGTCTTTATCAGCTGACTTTGTACCTGCTGACCTATTTCAAGTGCTGCTAGCATTGAACAAGCACCAATTATGCTGGCAAATGTAGAAATATTTGGTCGAAAGTTCAACCTTTGCATGTCAATGTAAAGTTCAAGAGATTTCGAGGCATATTCAGATGATTTACTGTATCCTTCAATCATCGCATTGAATACTACAATATCCTTCTCCACCGTTTTGTGAAATATATATTCAGCGTTTTCCAGAGAGCCTTGATTCATGTAACCAGAAATGAGGGACGTTGAACATATCACATTGTTTTCGAACATCATATCAAAAACGACCCTTGCATAATCAACCTGCCCATTCTTAACATAAGAGTCAACAAGAGCCGTAGAAAGAACATCATCCAGCTCCACATCAGATTTGAGGATTTGCGCATGTACCACCCTTCCAAGATCACCAAGAAGAGTAACATTAGCGGGGGAAGTTGATGCTTTTAAAATCATTGAAAAAGTATAACCATCAGGTTTCTCCCCTGAGATTAACAGCCTACGCACCAAACTAATGGATTCTTCAACTTGTCCATGTTTAAGGTAGCCACTAATCATGTAGTTATAGGCAGATAGTGTTTTCACAGGCAATCCATCAAACATCTGGCGTGCAAATCTTAAAGAATTACATTTCAAATGCAATATTAGGAGTTTAATGGAAATACTCTTGTTTGGAATAAACCCAGTTTTTAGAATGTGGGAATGAATAGATAGACCATCAGAAGGAGCATCTGAATTGATGTAACTCTGTAAAGTGTTGGATAGCAGGATAGCGGGAGAAACAGAGGTTTGGGCAGGCCAAAAACTTTGATATGACGGGATGAGAGAAATATTCCTATGAAGTGATGAGAAGAAACGTGCAGCTACAAACAGCCTCCCATTTTTCATATTCCAACAGCTGAACCAATATTGCGTATGTTGGCAAGTTTGTGATGGCAGAACCAATACAAGCAAACCTTTCCGGGTTGCCAGAGAGACCCAGAAAAGGAACTGAATTATGACTCAGCAAAACAGCCTGACCACAAAACAACTATCAGCCCCCATGCACACGCTCTTTTTGAGCTCCCCCTTCAATTCAAGCTATTCTTTTATGAAAAAGTTGCATACTGCATGCCGTTTACCTGTTTAGCTATCTTTCCCTTCTGAAACAGTATATGATAACATCTCTGAGATCCCTTTGGTGGAAAGAAAGCATTTTTAATAGGATGGGAAAAAATGACAGCTAGTTTGGTATGCAATAGAAAGAAAGGGAGATTGGTCAATTAAAAATACCAAAATTGTGGTGGGGGTGGGGTGATTTCAAGCTGCCTAATATGCCCTTGACCAAGTAAAAAAATCCCAATCATTCATCGTTGTCGACTGTGGAAAGCCGGAGAAAGAAATTGTAAAAGACCAACAGGCACAAGTCATCGTCACAACCATTGAGCACAAATCGAAAACCAATAAACACCAAACATTAAACTCAAATCCAGATCAAACTCAAAAAATTACCAGTTAAAGGGTAAAAATATTTTGAAAATTTTTCATCAAAAATGCCTGGTGTTCTAAACTTTTATTTGAAACAATGTGGCATTAGGACTTTCAAAAAATGTGCAATATGATCCCACCACTAAATATAAAAACGTTGACAATTAAAAGTAAGGCTTGATTAAGGACATTTTTGACCAATCATTCCTTCTACATTGTTCGTTTGATAGGTTCTTAAAATAATAAAAAAATAAAAAAAATAAATGTATTAAAATAATATAAAACAAAAATTTTATTTCATACTTTTTTTAATAGCCATGTTTAGAAAATTTTTTTAAAAATTTAAGATTATTTTATTGATAATATGCTAACTTCTGAATTACTAATTATATTTATAAAGATAAATATAAATGAAATCTAAATAATTAAATAATGAAAGATTAAACAAAATTTATATCTAAATAAAGTCTAAATAAATGAATAAAATCTAAATTTAAATAGAAATTAAATATTTAAATGAAATCTCATAATAAATAAATTTTTTTAAATAATATTTAAAAAATAATAAAATTTAATGTCTTTGCGAGAATAAGTCTTTACGAGAAGGAATCTTATCATCCTTCGCCAGCCTTTCCTATCTTCTCTCTTGCTTCTTCTTCGACAAATCGATGGGAATCGAAGAACGCTTGAAAGATGCTACTGAGATTGAGGGAGCTGAGGCGGTACCCTCAGATGGTGAGACAGTGGAGAAGGCGAAGCTACGATTCTTGGAGCAAAGTCTATGAATCTTCTTCGTCTAGTAAGTCTTATTGGAGATGCTCTCTTCTGGTCTTCATTTTCAAATCTAGCATGAGGCTACCATGAATGGACAAATGAAGAGATGCTCGCGAATTTGAATGCAAGAGGAACTGATACATATTTCTGGGTGATTAGATGGAAGCGAGAGGATGGGGATCTGGTTTCTGCAACCTTCTCTCATTTGAGAGTGAAATCCACGATCCAGCGAACTTGGTGTTTCGACTTCTGGGATATGTCTAAAATTAGATTCGAGGGAGAAATTTTTCAACTTCTGACATTTCCTTCGGTGATGAATCAATGAAAGATGAACCTGGCGTGGAAATAGAAGAATTTGATGACAACGTTCTCATAGTTAAGGAAGGGGCAAGTCTAGGATGAACCAGAACCTCCAGATCTTTTTCTTTCTCCTGCTTGCAATTTCTACCTCTCCAAGCTGGCAGCCATGTTTTGTTCCTTGTTGAGTCTTGCAAGATATCTCTCCCAACTTAGTCAAAATTCGCTTACACTTTGATCATTTTTTTTTACTTATTCATTGTTATTTCCATGTCCCGCCCTTTAAGTCAAGATTAAGCTATTATTATATAGGTCATTAGTTAGTGAGTTTGTAGGCGTTTAGCTGCTCAATCCAGGAGATGGGTGGCCATGAAAATGACATGGGTTTTCAACACGGGCAAGAGACAATCCTAGCACATCCTCGGGCCTAAGCACAAATGTTTCTGAAATCACAATTAGCTCTATATCTATGGCCAAGCCTCTTGCTATGACTAATTCCTTTCTTGGGCCGTCTTCTCTTACCTAGGATCCCCTTTTAGACTCAAGCTTTTGGGCTCTTCCAAGGCTTCTCATAGAGTTTGGCATTTCATCTTACCCACTCATGTTGGAAAATCGAGGATTGAGTAGCACCTCTCACCTAGTTCAATAAATGTCCGACTCCAATTTTATTGTTCCTTCCTACGCAAGTGGAGGCTTCTCCGAAATGGAACTTAACAAAATCAAGGAAATTGCGAGTAATGAGGCGCTTCTTAGAAATTGTGCCATGGCCTTAGGAAAAATAGAAGAGTATTAGTAGCCTATTTAAAGTGCTTGGCCAAAAAAGTAGCATAGATCAGTTGTTGCTTACCTTCTTTATGTTTTAAAATTAACTAGTATTGTTTATGTTGTTAACTTTATTTTAAAATTAACTGTGTTATTAAACTCTTATTTTATGTGCTTTATTTTAAGTTATGAACAATAATGTAATAGTTGTTAAATTATGTTATGCAATTTTTATGAATTAAAATACATAGTCTTACTTATTACAATTATTTTTACAAAAGAAAGAAGATGAGGTTGAGGCTGTTATTGCAATAATAGCCAATTACTCAACAATATATTTATTTAAAAACCCTTGCAGAACTAGCTTGCAATCAAGTTATATATGGGTGCAAGAAATTTTGCTAAGGCATCCTTAGCATTATTATGACATGGTTCACATGGAAAAAGATGTTTTTTTTATTTTAACTTTGTAATGAATTTGTGCAATATGGCCTACATCCAATCAAAAAAACAGGGGTTTATGAAAATGGTCGGTATGTTTTTAGATATTATTAGACATGGGGTGGTGAGTAAAATGGCATAAGAATGATTTTAACATTTAACAAAGACTATTCACAGACATTTTAAAAAGGAAAAGTTATATGTAAATTTTGTAAAGCAAACTTATTTAACAATAAGTTTCGCAAAATTTAGAAACCACAACTAGGTTCCTTAAGATCTGAGTGTAATTTAAAATTGGTGTTCAAAAAAATAATACCCCCATTAAATATATATACATTACATTAGTCAAATAATTTATAGCCATTTCATCATTAATTTATAACTACAACTATAACTTCTTATATCTAATTAAACTAATCATTTTAACTATTGAATATGTGAAGTTACAGTTGTAAAAAATTGAAGTTATAGTTGTAAGTCACTAATGAAGTATAACTATTAGATATATGAAGTTACAATTGTAAAAAGTTAAAATTATAATTGTAAATTTCTAATGAAGTAGTTAAAAATTAGTTATTTGATTGATGAAATGTATATTTAATAGGAGTTTTATTGTCTTTACATTTTAATTTCAAATTATACTTAGGTCACAAGGGACCTGACCGTGGTTTTTAAATTTTGCAAAACTTATTTGTAAATAAGTCTATTCTACGAGACCTATGCATAATTTTCCCTTTTAAAAATGTATTGTATGCTTGTAAGAAGCTAGCAAAGGAATATGTCCAAGCAAAAGATCATACTTTTCAAGATATACATTCAAAAATTTTTGGTGACCCATAAATTGGCTATTCTTCAAAGATGCCATAGGAGTAATTGATGGAATGCATATCCTGTGTGTGATTAGTGTTGAAGAGCAAGGAAAATATATTGAAAGGAAAGGTATTCCAACACAAAATATAATTGTCATATGTGATTGAGATATGTGCTTTACTTATGTTATGGCTAGATAGGAATAGACTGCCCATGATGCTTGTATATTTGATAATACACTCAGAAGGCAGAACATGAATTTTTCACATTTACTCTAAGGTATATTTCATATTTATCTAATTTAAAATAATTTGTTTCAATATTTAATTAATTCCTACAATTTTTATCTTTTTATTGATAGGTAAATATTATTTGGTAGATGCTAACTATCTAATATCACATGAATATTTAGGTCCTTAAAAATCTCATAAGTATCACCTCCTAGATTTCAAGCATTCATCTGGATTTGTAAACAATAATGAGGTTTTTAATTATTATCATTCAAGTTTAAGGACCATGATTTGAAGGACTTTCGGGGTTTGAAAAAACAAATTCACAATCTTACAGCGCATGCCTAGTTATTCATTTGTGACACAAGTACATATAATTAGTGCAACAATTGCTATACATAATTTTATTAAAAAAAATATGACTTTAGGCATTTTGAGGATGAAAATATAATTAACACTCATGATGATATTAATGAGTATGCATTTCCATCATCAATTCTAAGTGCAATTTTAAATGTAGTTTCTAATAGAAAGATGAATAAGGTTTGCGATTCTATTTGAAATTAGATGGTATATATTACAGATCGAATCGTTAATTATGTAACTATTCAATATTAATAAATGTTAAATTATTTATTATATAATTTTTTCTAATATTAAACTTTATATTTTTTATTCTTATTATTTAACATATTTTATGTTATTTTAAATTTTTTTCACATTTTTAAACACTTCTAATATATTATATTTGTATAGCAAAAATTATAAATTATAATGAATTAATATCCTTTTTAGTCATTATATATTCAAAAACACAAATCATCATTAATCTAAACAACTTTTAATTTATCAAACTAACTTTTAAAAAAATGTATCCAAACAATTAACTTTTATTAAATGAACTTTTAACAATTAATTTTTTGATAAATTAAAAACCAAACACACAATTAAGCATATGACTTCCGCAAGCTCTAGTTTATTTGAAACCATTGATTTCATGGTAGAATTTTGTCAGTCTTCATTTGGAGAAATTAAATGGATGTTAATTGGCTAAGACTTATAAGATGATTGAATCAGTTGAGTTTTTAAGTTGTGATTTAGTTTGCAAATCCACAAAAGATAGTGATTTCTTCATTAATTTGTATAACTATTTTATTATATCCACAATTTGCATGTTACTTATAACAAATAATTGACATAATTAATCAATTACATTTTAAAATTTTATAGAAATGTAACAAAATTAATAACACATATTTAGATTATTTATGAGCGCTGAATGATATTAATGTCTAATTAGTTTACACTTTCCGTGAGCGTGGTCGTAAATGCTAGTTAAAATTGAACAATTTTCCTGCCCCAATTTGCTTTGTCTCCCTAACTCTAAACGTTGTTTATCCAATGTTCAGACCTTCGGACCAATTCTTCAGCATGCAGCATACGGGATATGTAGAAAGTGGGAGAGTGGGAATAATAGAAATGAAAACGATCAATGAAGATGAACAGTTGTCAAATCAAGCTCACTTACAGCCTCAAAAAAATGAGCAGTAATAATTCAATAAATAGACACAACCTCGTCTAAGAATAAAATACAATGTCGCGACCATTCTCGCTTAAAATACCAAGATCCCAGCACAAAATGGGACTGGCCACCTCCGTTTGAAAATTCTGAACGCAAACTCAGAAGATTACTAGGACTACTCTCAGAATAATTTCAAATCTAAATGAGATTAGCCCTCTTAAGAAACCTAATTGTCCTACAATAATAGGGCCATATTGATTCCACGGAATCAAGGTATTTCTCCACTATCCATTCTTCCAGTTCTTTCAATTTTCTTCTTGATTGTTCTTTATAATCAATATCTTTTATGCTCAATATAGGCTGCAAAATAAGAGATTGGATATCTTCTTTGATCTTGACACCAAAAACGTAGCTGTACGCCAAAATGCAGCAAGAGGGAAAATTCTTAATTACTTTGACAGTTTGCTTGAAGCTGAAGGCATAGAAGGACCATAACTTCCGGATTATTACAACGTAGAGAGCCACAACTAATGGCCCCACAACCCACAAAGGAGTTAATTCCTTTGAAACTTTGGCTCCGTATCTGACATTAACAGCCAAATAAAAAGGAATACTGCAAATAAAAGATAAAATTATAAGACACAGAAAAGACTGCAGCAATGTTGACTATCAATTCTGTTGACATTATCTACCAGGCAAGAAAAGCTGAATAACACAGTGAAATATTTGCCCAATATTGGGCCGAAGGAAAATTTTTCCTGTATTTTAAAACCCTGACCTCGAATGCATTTAATTTCTCAGACAAATTAACAAAAAAAGATCCACTAAATGGGTGATCCCACAATTACAAAGGATCCCCATAGAAGGGGGGAGAATAGTTGCCCAGACATCTAGGAGAATAGTTGCCCAGACATCTAACAGATAACACCAATTTTGAAGCGTGAATACACTATCTTAAACCTTAAGAATTTCACCATCGTAATGTATTTTCTTGATAGCATGCAGGACGCTGTGATAACAAGGAACAAGATAATCATTTAAAGTTTTAATCAAGCATTCCCCCTCCTTCCCTTCACAAGGTCCTTTTTACTTTTTCTCCGTGAAATCAAGTTTGATAGCATGAATTTTGCTTCAGCCAACAAATCCAAGCTGACAAATGAGAAGTGTCGTGTATATAACTGACTGATGGCAAAAACATTCAAAAAAAATCTCAGACAAAAATCCTTCTTTCCCGGATTCCGGATTCCCAGTATAGTGAACAAAAGCGATGTCCCAAAAGGCAGATAGCACAACATGCATGGAGGAGAAAGCCATCATACTTACAATACTAATAAAGGAATCTTTATTGTCTCGTCCAGGGCCAGAAAATGGGTCCATGCTACCTTCAAAACTTCACCTCTTTCCTTAACTTGTGTGCCATCAAGAGTTTCTGGTAAAGCCCCTTGAGTTGATTCTCCCAAAACTTCTTTCACTTCTTCACTTGATGGCTGTGTGAGCAATAATGTCAGCCACTTCTTGAAAAGTTTATGAATAGCAGTTGATGTTGGGAGATTATCATTTGCAAGGTCGTTATTTGCTTCAGAAGCATAAGAAAGTGGAACATTTTGGGCCTCTGGAGGTTCTGATTTGGCCTCCCCACTCTCTTCTAGTCTAACATAAGCATTAGGAACTTTCAATCCGCTAGGTCTACTTCCCTTGTGATAATTATGGGAACTGCCTTTGAAGGCTGAGATTCTGAAAGGTTCAATCTTGGCTCCAAAAATGTAAGAAGGCCCTACACTGAAACAAAAAGTTATTCAAATGATGAAGACAAAAAGGATCATGTGCATTAACTCATATGCATTTCCATATGTTCAAAATTATCAAGGGCATAGAGAAGGGGAAAAAAAATAAGTATGAAAGCTAGAACAAAGTAAAAATGAATTTGGTATTAGCAGTACAATGTTAGAAACAAGAGCCGCTGCTTTAGCATCCCATCAAACAATTAATTTAAGTATAATTTACATGCATAAACTCCCTCCCTAGACAGTTCTGCTCTTGCATAACATGAAATATTCAATTCTTCTAAACTATTTTGTCATATTTTAATTCAATTCCATTGAGTTGTTTTGTGAATCAGTACTGTCAACTCTCCTCTGTTTACCTCAGAAATTGTAAGGCAGTTCTACATGTTAGCTTCTCCCAAACATTTTGAAGTTCTTGAAACCAGTGACCCCAAACATAGGACCTTTATTAGTTTTGAGTACAAGGAAACCAGACACAAATGAAATAGCTACACCTTAAAGTACCCAGCTTAAGTAGGTAATGCCAATCAGTTCTTCCAACCCTGTGATGTTTTGTTAAACACTGCTTCAACTTCAGACTTTTGCTCCATGGCATATGCCTTGAGGAAAATGTCACACACGAGCCCTGGACACGAGAAAACAGAGGCTATAGATTTAAGCTGGCAGTTTTAATTAGAAGTTATGATCACTAAATTTGGGGTAACAATGGAACCCTCACCACCACAAAAGGTCATTAATCATTAATGCGGAATATCTCGTACTTCTCTAAATGTGTTGCACTAAAAGTGAACTTTGAGCACATCATATTGCCATAACAAATTATCTTAAACATTTCATTTCCAAATAATCATGTAGATATTTTTTTAGCACCATATGCCAAATTTAGGCCACTTAATGCGATGATGCTATCATCAATTCATCATCAGCCAACAATTTTTCTGCTCGCCCAATTTCATACGTAGGAGGCATAAACTTGAAAGTAGTCGTAGTTGGAAGATTAAAAGCTGACAAAGTGAGGTTTCTAACCAAATAAGATGTAAACAAGTACCTGTGGTTGAAAGGCTATTAAAGCCATTTCAACTCTTTATCCACCAAATGATCTGCGAGCAAGAATCTATTCAATAAACACCAAAAAGTTTAAGAGGTAGGCATCAGTTAACTATCATTAAATCAGAAGCATAATTATAAACATGTTGAATAACATGTGTAAGGTATAACATTTAACTTTGGGAATTGAATGTGTTCATCCAATTAGCTCGTGTAACAGTAAACACAATGAAGAAAGGTGAAGTGTGGCATTTAGTATGATAGCTCGTAGTGTTCAAATTTTAATGCCCAGGAAAGCCAAGGTAAGCTTTAAATTCAGCTAAACAATGATACACGAAAGAACCCATGACCCCAATTATGAATATGTTTCGGTTATGTTACATTTTAAAAAAAGGGCTCAAAAGTCAAAACAGACCACGAGAACTAAGCGAAATCGGAAAAATTAGTAGAAAAAGCGCATCCTTCTCTTATGGAGCAAGAGAAAGCACCGACAATTCAAGTGGAATGAGCTCACTGTTCCGTTTGGAGGCAAATAAAACAACATAAAAATGCAACTACAATTTCTTTTCCTCCCATTAATCTTTGATGTTCCCCTCACCCAAACTGGCTAAGATTAACCAAACTGTAGCACATATGAGATTAAGAAGCTTATCGAAACAAGCAGAACCCATATAGATAAGAAACAGAGTTGAATGCAACTGACCTGCGTAGTTGAAATCATGAGCAACTCGAATCAAAACCTTTCATCAGCATAGTTGTAGTTGGAAAATAACAATCCTTCTATCCATATGCTCGAAGGATAGAGAGAGAGAGAGAGAGAGAGATATGATGAATAAGGAGAAAGCTATGATTGGTTGATTTAGGGCTTTTAAGTTTTACTAGTCCTGTTTGTTTCTCCAAATGTTTTCGGGGAGCGCATGCGGATGAGCACCCCCAAAGCAATCTGGATGGTTAAGATTAAATTATTTTTTTTTTACTTTTACATACAAGTTTATAAAATTTAAATTAAATATTTATTATTAACATGTATTATTTATATTTAATTAAATGAGTTTAAATTTAATATTAAATTTTTTATAATTTTTAATAAATTGTCTATACAAATTTAGTTTGTAAGATTCAAATTTTTTAACTTATTATATTTTCAAATTCAAAATAACTCAAAGTAAATTTGTATTATCAATTTATAAAAATTATAAAAAATTAATATTAAATTTAGACTAAACTGATTAAATATGAATGGTACATATTAATAATAAATATATTTATTTAAAAATTTATAAATTTTTATTTTAAAAAATAAAAAAAGGTATGATCAAGATGATCCAGATTATTTTAGGGGTGATGGGCACGTGCCTAATGAGCATTGAATGTGCTCCCATGTTTTCGACCGTTGATGGTGCTGAGGTATGAAACAACAGTGTTAGATAAATGGAAGTCGTTAAGAGGAGAGAAATCAAAAATGAAATAGGGGCCAAAAAAAAAAAAGACTTAATTTTATATGGCTATCGTGGTTCGTGGATGCAAATATGTTTGGGATCCTAAAGTATCGGCTCCCCAAGCCAATATGTGACTGCGGTGGCCCACAAAAGGGATCTGGGTTATACAGGTGCTTTGATATGATTTTGTTACAAGGTTATTATTTCCTCTTCAAAGAGTTAATCCAATAGAATATACAATGCACTTATTCATTAAAACTGTCAATTAAAGTTAAATTCATCTATTAACCCTTTTAAATTTAAAAAATTTATTATCAGACTATTGCTTTAAAGTATAACCTTTTTAAGTTTTAAAATAAAAGGGCCAACCCTTTAGGGCTAGAGCCGGCCCTTTTATAATTTTTTTAAATTTTAATATTAAAAAATTAAATATTATACTAGTTTTAAAATTTTAGTTTCATTTTCACAAGGATAAAGAAAGAATATATAAAAAGCTAAATATATTTATCATTGTTGAAGCTTTACAAAGAGAATGATAAAATTATATTGATGTCGATGACAATAAAAATTATTGAGATTTCGATAATGATGATAGTAAAGTCTGATTGTTATTGATGTTTATTTTGTGATATTATTTTTTATTAGACTTAAATTTATTTTTACATATTTAATGTTATGTGTAATAATTTTTTTGAGATTTTAAATATGTTTTTTAGATTCTTTAAATTTAAAAATAAAAAATATATATAGGAGCCAAGGCCAAGCTAACCAAAATAGAATATTGAGGTATAATTGAGTTTTATAGGGTCAGCTCGTTTAGGCTCTGACCCTTCAAATGCTGGCTTTTTAGGATCAAAATAATTTTGATTGACAAGTCTACTACTTGTATATCTAATATTCTCCTCAGGTCCTTTGAATATAGGATGCAACAATCAGCTATCTATTCGTGCGCATTTTTTATCAAACAAAGTCCTTTTGTTCAATCAACACACACACACACACACACACACACTCAACACACACACACACACACACACACACACTCCTTCCATCATAGACGTGAGAACTGGTTGAAAGGTTTGATTTGATCTTAACATCTATTTTGTCTCCTAAACTTTATAGTTTTTTTCCCCTAAATCATGAACATATTAAAAAGGGTTTTTATTCTCTTCCTTCTTCTGCTTGTTTTTTTTTTAAAGGGGTTTTTATTAATAGGGATAATTCTTAATGTAAATGGTTAAAGATGGTATTTTAGAAAAGCAAATGCGTATTTTTTTTTACAAATAATTATCTTAACGAACTTTCTTAATGTTTAACTCTTATATTTAAAGTTAAATGATTATTTATATAAATGTTTAAATCTTATATATGCTGATCTCATCATTTTTTTTTAATCTTTCTTCTATTTCCGAAAACCAAAACTTCTATTAAACATATCTTATTATATTTTCAACCTTCATTCACGTTCATTTATTCGTTAAATTAGATGATAAGCCCTCTAGCACTATTTTTCTTTTGCCATTTCATTTGAAGCTTTAGTGGTAACTATAGGAATAGATCGTGCAGGCATTCAATGTCATTTTGATGCTTTGCACTCGGCAGGTGTCTTCACATTGAATTCAAATGCCATATGAGCTGAGTTCTCAACCATCTCATGACCAATTACATAATATATTGCTACCCTTCAGCAGTGCATATCACCTTCACTCACACACAGCAGCCTTTTGAGTGTCCATTGCATTACCTTGTTTTTTATTTTTTCTTTTTCCTTCATATAATTTCAAGAGAATGAAAGAAAGGTCCCAAATAAATTAATTAATTTAAATTAGATTTAAAATGCCAAATTTTAAAAATTTAAAAATTCAACTTTCAATTTTACAATTTCATTTAGATGAATTTGTAAATTATGTTTCAAATTTTAATAGAGAAAATAAATTTATTTATTTTTTAATCATATTAAAATTAAAAAATAAATTATAAATTCATCAAAATGAAGTTGCAAAGTTTAAAAATAAACTTGTAAATTTTTAAAATTTAACAATTTAATCCTAATTTGAAAAAACCTATCTATTATTCTCCCTGTAATTTCAACCAACTCTTATCCAATGCCAAATATTTTCTCCCTTGTCCTTCTAGACTGGCAATTTCTAAAGCCTTATCTCTGGGAGTCCAAAAAAACAAAAACGAAAAAACAAAAAGGACAAAAACGGAAGGGCGTGCCATGCCATCATTTTTACTGGTGGTTCAGTATTGGGACAACGTTCGAGGTTAATGCCATCAAGGCATAGCACTGTGAAGATCTTAAATATAGGTTTTCCTACGGGAAGGGATCCAACAGTTCTCACTGCAGAGGCACTCTCTACAGTCTACAATATGCTCCCACTTACTTTCGAGTGTTGTCTTCGACGCAAACGTTAGTTGGAAGGTGAACATGCCTTCTGAACACAATGTACAGACGCTGTTGCCCCAGTGCCTCAGCCCTGCTTTTGGCTTCTAATCTTGCACCACGCAGCCTGCCTACTAGAAGTTCTGGGGCTAGAATCTTTTTACTTCTGGCTAAATGAAAATACTCATTTACATTCAACAAAGGGATCGAGTAAGAACCTTAGCTATAGATTCATTTACAATAGTTTACACAAATAAGCCAGTGTATTATAGGTTTTATAGCGCAATTACATTGATATATACAGGCATGCGGAACCTATGGGCACTCAGATATACCTGATCTGGCGTGCAAATGGAATTAAGCTTTCTGCAATAATTCAATATGCTGCAACGCCAACCGATTCACAACCTGCTAATTTTGGCGCGTCAATATCCACCCAAACCTCATTTGTACGCCCAAAAATACGCAAGGGAGAATTGTATTGGGCAATTGAGTAACCCTTGGAAGAAGTAGCATTTGCCCATGGAGATCTGCTCAAGCTGATGTCGAGCTTTTCTGCCTCCTTTACAATATTGTCATCCCTTGCATATCCAGAGAACTTTCTGACGGCAACACAGTGACTGTCCCATTTACAGGGCTTGATATGCAGTTGGGGAAGCGGGAGTGGTGGATTAGCTTGAAACTTTACAGGCAAGTAAAAACGAACAAAGTAGGCCGATGAGTGAAGGGGACCTGCTCCAGGGACTATGCTCGTCAGGACAGGAGTAGTCATTGCAATTCGAGAGAAGTTGAGGTTAGCACCTTGCGTGTACTGGAACAACCTGCAAGATCCAAAAATGACTCTTGTATGAGGATGAAATTATATTTCATTCCAATTTGAGAGAGAGGCACCTGACTCTCCGCATGAATGCTATTAAGAATAAAGAAACACAAGATGAATGGGAGGACAAAAAAAGCTTATGTGGTAAAAACTGTTTCCAGAGGAGCATTTTTCATACACTTTTTTCCTTCCCTATTTCCAGTTTCCACCCCTTCAAGACAAAAAATTTACAAGTTTTGATCCATCATTTCTAATAGGATCACATCATGTTTACAAGCATTGTAAAGAGATAGATCCATGGTGTTATGAAAAGAGAGAAATGTCACAAGGCCACTAGAATTACATCGTTAAAGAGAATTTTTCAAAAGAAACAATTGCAACTTAACCAGGTGTTACATGCATATTGTGAGGTATGAAGCTAAGCCAGATTGAGACCAGTTAAAAAGTGAAAGCGTTTGGTTTTCACTCCAATTCCTGGTTCAGCAAGCGGAAATGGAAAATTCAAGAGCATTTACTTTCCTTTTGCTTGGTAATTGGATTAAGAAAGAAGAAAGATGCAGGGAAGGTGAAAAATAGCAAGGGAAAGTTGGAAGTAGAAAGATTGCTCTCAATGAGGCCATGAGGGCAGGGTAAAAAACCAATCATTCAACTTTAAGCCATTTACAATTTTTTCTTTTGGTGTCAAGGACAAAGTTTGCTTCCATATAAAAATTCCCACCCCCGCACTTACTATCTTCACTCCCATTTTAACTAGGACTGAGAATAGAATGCTGGGCGAAAAAAATTGTGGTGTATCTACATTTTCCCATAGTTCATGGTGAAGTCAACACGTCCGCGTCTTCTGCAGCAGAGGGTACACTGACCCCACACAAGAAAACCACTTTCTTCCGTACTTTTTATCCCCCTTGAATTGAAACATCTACTGGACACCAGATGCTGTCTGAACAGAGCATTTGTCTAATACACTCAAGTGGATAGATATAATAATCTCACTTCAAAACGTCTGAATTTACATAAATTTTCTGAAAGCTCAGTAGCAGTTTGGCACATACCTCTATAGGGGTTAAAATCAGAGTGCCTGTTTGGTTTACCAAACAATATATAATTTCCAAAACCAAAGTTAAACATGATTTTTTCTACCAACTTGAGTTCAACCAATATCAATTTTGCCTAAAACCATGTTTGAAAATCAATTAGGCAAGAGCCGTGTTTTTATTGAAGGTCAACAACATATTCATGATTGAATGTACAGTAACTTGTGAATGCTTGCCCAAAAAAAAAAAAAAACAAGAAGAAGAATCCACAATTTTCAACCTGGATATAGAATATTTCACAAGTAGGCACATTGAAAAGTGAGTATGATGAGAAAACCGAACAAGGTCCAAGAAATTTCCTACACTTTCCGGAAATCATATAAAAGAACTACACAATAAATATTTGAAAAATTAAGAGGGGGAAAGGTCCATCATCAACTAAACAGAGTGGAAATAAACAGAATCGAAGAGAAATATAGTTAGTTTAAACAAAAATTACCGGTGGAAGCCATTCCAGGTAGCCTTTACAAAGGAAATGTCCCGAGCGGGGGCAGAAATCCAGACGGAGTCTCTGTAGAGCCTGATCTCGAAATCGGACTCCAGGTGCACCACCGTGTACTGTGGAGACTCGATCGCACCACATACGAAAACTAAAGACATGACGTTGACCGCCACATACACACACCCGATCGCTTCCTTCCTCATCGTCGCTTAGCCACGAAGAAAGAAGTGTCTCTTGCGTTGAAATGCAAGATGCCGCAATTCAGCATCGGTATCTGCCATTGGTCTCATCAAAACTTGTGTCGTTTATCTACAGCTATACCGCTGTGCACGTCGGCCTTCAAATTCATTGATAAAGACAAGGAATGATTTAGACGGTGTTAATGCTCCGTTTGGATAAAAGAAAAAGTTAAAAAGAAAAAAAAAATAAGAGAAAAAAATAAAGAAAAAAAAATCTGAAGAGATAATATTCTCACTTTTTATGTTTGAATGGATAGAGAAAACTACCAAAAAAAAAACATAGGCAAAAATCAAAATGAAAATAGTACTCTTATATTTGGATATACTATATCATTTTTATTGAACAAAGGATATATTATGTCATTGTTCCATTAAAATACACTAAAAAAATAATATTAAAATCCATTAGAATATTTTGAAATAAAAATATTTGGCCAAAAATTATATTTTTATATTTTTCTACTTAAATATCAAAATGAATAGTTTTTTAACATAAAATATAATAGCCAAAAAATCAAAATGGATAATTTTCTATTTAAAATTTTAAAAAAATCAATGATAAGCAATAAGAGATTGTTCCTTTTTTGAAAAAAAAAATTAAGAGATTGTTCCATATTAAACACCAACTAGAGCACATAAAAGAAAGGATTGTTTAGAACTAAATAAACACCAAGTGAAAAGGAATAAATAAAAAAAAACAGCGTAACAGAAATTTCATCTTAAATCAAGTGGCATATACAAGTCCTCAAATTGTGGAGGTTTGAAACAGAGTCCAAAGTCTTGAAGGAATTGGCTTATGCCTTTTTAAATTTGTTCTTTTATGTGTTATTTTGTTTGCCGTTGGTTTATACTTGTGCTTTTGCTACTGTACTCTTGGTTCCCTGGTTTCAGTAATGAATTTGCACACTTTTCATGGTCTAAAAGAAGAAATGGAGTTCGAAGCCTTGGAGATCGAAGGAGAGTTCAAAGGTGGAGACTAGATCACTGGAAAGCTTGCGTAAGTGAACTAGAATGAAGGTGTGACCATGATGTAGGGGTTTTACCAGGGAGAGAGAGGTGAGGGCAGATGTGGAACCAAGAATTTCTTTTCAAAATCACTTCATGTAGAGAAAATATGGAAAGAAAATATGGGCAGGTCTCATGCTTTATTTTTCTTTCCATTTTTTTTTCTCTCACTTTTTTTTCATTATTCAAACAACAGAAGAATTGTTTTCCTCCCTGTTTTCTCCCATAATTTTTTTCATCTCATATTTTCTTCCCATCCAAACAGTAAAATAAAAATTAAATATAAATATTCTCCTCAATTTTATTATTTTGAATTACTTTATTATTTTCCAAAGAACTTTAACAGTCATGCCATGTGAACTTTAAAAGAAACCATTATTATTTGGATTTCGGAGCGAGAATAATAGCAAATCTTGGACAGGATTGATCATTCATAAGTTGCTAGAATACTAGTGTTTTTTCTTTATTGGCTGCCAATTAAATGGCTTAGCGTGTAAAGTTAAGGATTTGGACCTAGTAAGTGGGTTAAATAGTCGTTAAATTTAATTAATATTTAAAAATTATTAAGACACATTTCCTTTTAAATATTCAAAATGATTTTCACAATTAAAATATTCCTTACTGATATCATCCCTTCCAAAAGTTTAAAATTTAATATTTTAAATAGTATATGACAAAATTTTTTTTACAACTGTTTGATTTAATCAAACCAATGTTATTATGTTATACTAAACACTTATTTAGTAAATGTACTTAAGTTAGTTACCAAATCTAAATCTGTAAAGTGAATATATGCATATATTGACTTGCTCATTATGCATTAAATGACAATTTATACACAATCACTCCATTAGGATGGAGAGAAGAACAGAGAGAAGAAAAAATTAGGAGAACAAACTCTTAAAAATAATAAAAAATTATTATTTTTGTAAATTTCTTTTTTATATACACAAGGAAAAGCAAACTAAAAAAAGATTCTAATGTCTTGCACTAAAATAGCTACTAACTCAGGGGAAGGGGAGAGGATAGGGTGAAACCCAGTAACACAAGAAAAAGCTAATTTGGAAAGAAGGTTTGCAGCTTTATTAGTGTCCCTCGAAATCTGCTAAATAAGCACTGCCCAATCCCAAGCCATCAACGATTTGATTTCACTAATAAAATTGATGTTCAAATGGTCAAGGGGATCAATACCATTAATTACTTTGATGGCTTCACATGAATCAAGTTCAAGTATGAGCTTTCTAAAGCCAAAATCCTAAGTCATTTTAAGACCCTACAAGCAAGCCCAAAGCTCAGCACAAAGCAAATTTCCATCATTCATTTTAAACATAAATCCTGCTTCAAACTCCCCTTTCAGGTTACACATCAGTCCACCACAACCGACCTTATTCATATAAGTAGAGAAAGCACCATCCACATTAAGCTTGCACCAATCATCCTTTGGTGGACTCCAAAAGCCATTAAGTAATGGCCCATCCTATTCTCTCCACATAGTGCTTTTAAGCTTACTTCAATTCAATACTCCATAAAAGTATTAATGATGGCAACTATTTGTGCATTAATGGAAGCATTAGAAGTGTTTTTATCATGAAAAATCATCTCATTCCTTCGTCTCTAAATAAGCCAACAGGCTATCACAAAATAAAAGCTTCAAGGAACCCCATGTGTGGTTGTCATTGACCAAACATTTTGTTTAATCCATCGTTGCAGGTTGATATCAAAAAAAGTCCTTTTATCACCATCGTCTAGACTATCTAACTAAAATCTTCTCATGTTCGGACAATCTCTAAGTGTATGTATGATATCTTCCATCGCTATCTTGTAGATCCCACATCTATCCTCCGCATGGATTCCTCACTTCTTATTACCTGCATTAGTAAGTAACTTGTTATGATAAGATAATCATAAAAAAGACTTACATCTTTTAGGAATTTGCAGCTTCCAAATCTTCCTCCAAGTAGTATCACAATTAGTAGGAGGTGGGTCTAAAGATTCATAGGTTGACTTGACAAAAAATTGACCGTTACTGCTCCATTTCCACGAGACATCATTACAATTAGCACTCATCACAATTCCAGACTGAACTGACTCCTAAATTTTATACTAGTCCAGATGCTAGAGCTCAATCTTTTCTTTTCAACCCTTGGAATCACATCTAAGCCACACTTATACTTGCTACAAATGACTTGAACCCAGAAGGCATCTCACTGTTTAACTAAGCCCCAACCCAATTTCATTTGAAAAGCTTGGTTTTGCTTATGCGCATGCCTAAGATCAAGGCCGTCATTCTTCTTAGGTTTACAAATTTTGTCCCAAGCAACCAAGTGTACTTTCCTCTACTCATCAGTAATACCCTAAAGGAAGTTGCGATTATTCCTATCTAACTCTTCACAAGTAGCCAAGAGAGATTCATCATTTGCGTAGTATAAATGGGTATACTAGAGGTAACAGAGTTAATCAAAATATTTTGTCCCACAAGTGCAAGAGAAGATGTCTTTCAGTTAGCCAACCACCTTTTTACCTTACCCACGACTCCACTATAGGTATTCTTGTCAACCCAAGCTAGCACTTATTTTTGTAAATTTCTACTCTTAGTTTTTTCACCATCTCATTTTCTTACGACTTTTTCCTTCATCCTAACCTAGCTTGTGATTTTTGTAGAAATACTCTTAGGTTTTGGATTGATGGATTTGAATTTGAATTTAAAATTTAAAATCTTGCATTTTAATTCACACAATTGAGATCCATATATTTAAAATTCTTTATTTGTATAATCTAAAATATTTCAAATAAAAAAAGAGATAAATTAATATTCAAAATGAAAATAAAAAATTAAAAATAACAAATTTATTTCTATTTTTAATCGATGAAAAATAAGAAAATATAAAAATGATAGAGATATCAATAGTGAAACCATAAAGAGAATAAGATGTTTAAAGTGATTAAAATTTTAAATAACTATAGTATAGAAGAAATTTATAACTATAAAGAAATTATAATTTAAAATGGAAAGTACAAAAACTTCATATACTTTGACATACACGGATTAAATCCCTACGTGACTTTTTGTGGCCTTACATTGAAAAAATGGTTTAGTGTGTGTATTAGTCTTTTTAACCAATAGTAATTGAATTATCTATAAAAAAAATTGTATTCTTAAAATAATTACAAGATAATTCTCCTAGGAAGGAGTTACATTAGCCCTCATTAAAACTGATACACGAGGACTCAACGTTGTCATACATTACCAACATCACTGGATAAAATTCATATAAGTGTACCCATAAATTGTGCATCCTTGTACCGAATTCAATGATGGCAAAGTTTTCCATTTTGCCTCAACTGTAACACTGATGGCATACTCATATTAGCGAAGATCCTGTCATTTGTTTTCATTTAGGAAGAAAGCAATATTACTACATGAAATATAAAGAACCAAATCTGACTGAATAGTTCTGCACGCCAGCTGTAGATGAGAATGTGGTATGGTACAGATTGTAATTTTTACCCCTTTGGTGAAGCAAGAATAGAAATGGTCAGCACTCTGCAGCCTTTATATAAATACAATCTTATCCTTAAGAGGTACTGACAACTCTTGTTTTCCATTTAATACACGATGTCTGGTGCAACGTGAAAACGTTTGAAAACTATCGGCTCAATTAACTCAACTCAACATGATTTTTTTTCCAACTATGAGATTTGAATCCTCAACCTTGTAAGATGTCTACAACTTCAAATAAAATCAGTTACCTTTTACCCTAAAACCGTGGAAAATCTGGACTGCTAACATAATTATCAGGAACAAGGGATATGGATGCCAAACAGCGGCTCTTGACAGTAACGAAATCTATCAATGTCTTGAGAGGAAGGGGAGGAAAACCGGTGTCATCTGCCACTCCACATATGGACATCGACACTGCAACACAAAAGCTATAGAGTTCGTACAGTTCGCTGCAACTTTGTGTATCTTCCAAAACAAGAATTTCCTTTCATGAAAAGCCCCATCAATCTCCAAAGCTGGCAGGGAGTGTTTCTGGTGTAAAATATTCCTTCCTGACAGACTCTGCAGAGCAAAATTTCACCTGCAAAAGAAAACCAAGATGTATTTAATTTTGTAACCGGCCGCTCTTAATACTTAATGCAAGAAAACATGGAAATCGATCAAAATGTGAGCCATGGATCTTACCTTCAATGCCCGTATTACACAATTAACATGAATAAGATTCCTCTGATTAACTCAATGAAGCTGCATAGTTGATGCAGGACAAACACAGCAAGAGGGGACAAGAGGGGTTTGAATGCAGGACTAGTTAGATACGCAGCCCAAATGAATAACTATGCTATACCAAATTACTGATAGTCCATAATTTAAGGTAAGTAACCAAACCCATAATCCCAATTACCCCCCTTCAATTCCCTTTGTAGATGGAGAAAGCGACTGAACAGGCTGCAGACATGAGAGAATGTTCACTACAGATTTGACTGGCGACATACAATAAGTAATTTGAATGAATCGCAACTTAAAAATTGGACTCTCTGCGTCTAATAGGGATGCTCCAAAAGTTCAACCCTGAGAGAAACCCTTAGAGGTACAGTAGGCTGCCATCACTAAGCCAACACCACAGGCAGCAATTACCATAAACTTTTATTTTACAAGCTACCCCCGTCCCAACCTAGCCAACTCCAATATTTTGAGAACATCAGCCATAAAAAGTTGAGACAATTATAACAAAGTAGAAAGTAATTTGTGCACCGTAGTTGAGAAAGATAATAGTGGATCCATGAGTTAATCTTCATTACAAGAAGATAAATGTATTTTCTAGTGCATATCCATAAATACACAAAGATGATGGGTACTACTTACCAGAGAAGCATATGATTTTAACAAGGGCCTGACCATTTGCCAAATCGGCTTAAACACAACAGGAGCATCCACAAATAGTACTTGGGCCACTCGCCTTGGATAGTAGTAATAAAATACATCAAACTGGCAGAAGAAATAAAAATTAACTGCCAGAAGAAATAAAAATTTAGTCCATGACACTCTTGTTACAATTTGCTTCTAGCAACTACAGCTGTCAATTTATCCAAGTGTAATGCATATTGTTAATTCTGCCATGTGCTATATGAGATAAAAGTAGCATTGAAAAGAGCTTGTATATAATAAATTGATGGCTAATTAACAGTCAAAGCAGATTAAGTATCTTTTATCAGAAAAGCATAAAAGCAATTAATTCCATGAATGAGAAATAATCACCATTACCATTACAATTTATAAGCTCAATATTGATGGTAGTTTAACAAGAACAAGCATCTCTTTGGTATATTTTGTATATTAAATCAACTTATACTGTTTTACATCAAATGAAGCCAATGATTTCAGTAGGCTTAGAAAAACCAGCACATGTATCACAGGCATATATTGAATGATAACAATACAGGCCGCTCTTGAGCAACATTTTCAGCAGCTGGTTAGAAAATCTTACCAGGAAGGTCAAGAATTTAAGATCTGCATTTTCTGTTCTGAAACCCCTGAGGTCAACTATGCCAATTATCTGTTCTTTACCAGTTGGAAGCCTGCTTAATGCCTTCTCAAGTAAGAAGACACACAGCTTCTCGTCGTCTGAAGGATCAAATTCCTGTGACATAATTATTTATTTTTCTCATTACGAACAATTTTGCTAATTGGCAAAGAATATTTAGACAAACACCATCAGTATGCTACAAATATAAACACATTGCAGAAAATAACACCAACAAATTCAATTACTCAGACAACAATAGCTCATGCAAATTATCATTCATAACCAGGAAAATGTAAATTATGAAAATTTCCTTAAGAAGAGTGAAAGGCATATTCATTTTATAAAGCATTGCAAATTTCAGCCGCAGGCTTGTACCATATTTATAGTGTCTCCAATTAAGTTAACAAAGCTTTTGAAGTAGAATGCAATGCAATTGAGAGTAATTCCTTCAACTTCCAGACTTACTAAGGGAACATGCTTTGATCCCACCACGACAAGCACAGGTCTGCCATCAACGTCAGGAAAATCATGCACATATGCTTTTCCAGTCTGAGCTACAGCTTTAACATTTTCTTCAGACAATTCAGATACCCCAAATTCTTGACGCCATTTCTTACAGGGTAGAAGGAAAACTCGAAGGCATATAAATTTTGTGAACATGAAAAGAATTTGATCAACTAAGCCTAAACTAAAACATATAAAGGATGCGATGGCACATTTGAGGGAGATACTTCTAGGTCTGTTAACTTTTGAGCATGCAATTTTTTACCGCTCACCCAAGTACTTGAATGGGCAGCGAGACCTACACAATCAACAAATCACCAGACTTGAGGCCCATTTGGATAATCCTCAAAAGAACATTTAAACCACATTCAGAATGTACTTTTATCAAATGCAACAAATAGTTAGACCCCCAAATGGACTTTCGCCAGCTGTAAATTGAAAACTAAACACACATAGTTAGGCACATGATCTTACAATGATTTACTTATGTGAAGGATACAATGGCTTTACTCAACTTTGAAACAGCTTCTTCGACAGAAAACCTGCGATCTTTCAGAAACCAAAGTATCATATCATCGTCATCTCTTCCATTTCTACCTAAAGGGAGGCTGGGGTATTCTTTCTCAAGCTTCTCCTTCACTTCCAGCACTAGCTGCATAATTTTAAAAGATACTGACGATGTAATAGCTGAATAACTTGGTCAGGAAACAGTTTAATTACAGTACAAACGGTTTAGCCAAGTCTAATGTTCATTTACCTTTAATACAATACAATTCCAAACGTTCAGACTGAAATTTAAACAAGGTTCGAGATTATAAAGAGGAGCCAGCACCATCTAACTACAAAGAACATACGAAACCTCTCGTTTGCAAGATTAAAACATACTATTCAGAACTGAGGGGAGCTAGGGGGGGATGAGGGGAAAACAGGAAATTCCAACTGAAATTTAGTTTCTCCGAGTTTCTGAGCCACCGAACACCGTTGTGATTCAAATGAAAACGAGGGAAATACCTTGCGTGACTCGTTGGGTTCCAAGATACAGTTCCGAATCGAACACCTGCGGATTCGGCTAGTGTTTCCGACGGAAACGCTTGAAGCAATCAGAGGATGGCTGAAACTTGGACACAGCCGAAGCGCCATCTTCCAAATTCTTCACAATCTAGAGTAGAATCTACTAGGTGCAAATTGCATCCCTGCCTTACAGGCTAACGTGTGAGTATGCCGTTCATTCTACCAAGCAATGCCCACTTTTAGTTTGAATCCATTTTCTTTTTTCTTTTTTTTCCCCCGGTTTTTGCGAGACCGTTGGTTTTTTATTGGGAAAAGTTCATTAAGACACCTGACTAAAGTTGAAAATAAAAATCAGACCTAAAAATATTGTTTAAATAAAAATTTAAGTTTGAAAAATAGATGATTTTTAAGGTAACTGAATTTTTAGACCCAATATTGATATTTTAAAAAAAGACTCAGACTCAAGTAGTTCTCCAAACTCTATTACAATTAAAAAAAACTAAAAACTCACCATATAATTAGATTATGAATCTTTTTAAATGTAGGATTTGCTTAATTTTAAGAGTAGGAATGTCTCTTTCATTGAAAAATCTAAATTAGATTATCACTTGAAAGAAGCTTTCCTTAATGGTCATCGATTTCTAGAATTAGATGTGTTGTATTTATAGAAGATTAATCAACAATGATTTCTCAATCTTTTAAATATAGCATGTGATATTCTAAGTGTCGCACTCAAAAAATGCGACCCGAATGGCGCATAAGCGGAGGTCCCGGCCTTCACAGTGAGAACAATACAGAATGAGGAGTCGCCACCAAGATTTTAAGGTAAATCTTGGGAAATCGTTTAAAGGAAGATAAGGATGGTCTATGAAAATAGAGAATAAATTCGGGAGTCAATTAAGTGTGGGAAGGTGTTAGGCAACTCACAACACTCGTTCGTCAGAACAATTACCTGAAGTTTGTTATGCTCTTTTAATATAGTTTTATAATCATTTTAATTATCCCTTTTTATATTCATATGTTTCAAAAATGATAAGAATTAAATGAGAAATGTTTATTTATTTATGAGGGAGAACTTGACTCAGAATTTAACTGTGAGGCCTACATACTCTTTGATGAGAATCAAAGTCCACATACTTCAGGTTTGAAAGTTGTTGGTGAAAATATTTTTGAAGAGAAATTAATTAGAAATAATTCACTATTTTACAAATAAAACAATTTTTAAAATTTTAATATATGTGTTTTAAATTTCAAGAAGTAATTTAATTTTAATTATTTTCTCAATTTTGAGTTTTTGGAATAAAGAAAGAAAAGAGTTTAAAATTATTCTTCTTTTATATTTTATGATTGAGAATTCTAACTGCTATACCTACAAAGCCTTATTGGTTCATACGGTAATACAATTATTCTATATATCTACGGAGATTTTGAAATCTCACACGATGAAAGAATCCAGCAACTTAATATATTTATTTATATCCTTATATATATTTTTAAGTATTAATAATATATTATAAGTGTGTGTATATATGTTTTAAAGATTCTTAATCATCATACCTATAAAGTCTTATTGACTTATACGATAATATGATTATCCTAAATATTTACGGAAATTCTAAAATCTCATACAATAAAAAAATTAAATTTATTTAAATATATCTTTAATTTAATTAATTTAATATATAATTTATATATATATATATATATATATATTTTAAAAAATTAATCGTTATATCTGTAGAATCTTATTAACTCATACGATAATACAATTATTTTAGAAGTCTACGGAGATTCAAAAATCTCACATGACTAAAAAACTATAATTGATAAATATGATTACAATTTAAATACATTAATTTGGTTAATTAATTTTTTAAATTGTGTATTATATGATTATTTACAAAAAATAATTTATTTATTATAAAAATTAAAAATCACTATATCTGTGAGGACTTATTATCCCATGCGATGATGTGATTAATTTAAGTCTCTATAAAGATTCTTAAAATCTCACATGAGAGTTAAATATTTAGTACAAAGAGAGAATTAATTTTAATAATAGGCCTTTGAAACTCATATAAATACCTACAAGATTGATCTTCATACCTACGAAATTTTATTGATTTACATGGTATGAAATTATTTTAAATACCTATAGAGATTTTTAAAATCTCACACTACAAATTAGTAATTAAAATATTTGTATTTGCAGTCGGTGCATAATATGAGTTTAGCATTCAAAGGAATAGAGAAAGAAACTATTTTGACACTTTACTCCTCTTTTGACTTGAAGATATGTTCCTTAAAATTTTTCAAATTGGTTTAATGCTTAGATATGAATTTCGAAAGAAAATGATGAGAGTAGTGGTAATAGTATCCAACAATTAAAATTAACAAGATTCACATACCATCACTACCATTAATTACCTAATTTATTTCCTATAAAAATCAAAATGAAGTTAATGTCTTAAAATTATTTGTGAATAAACAATAGTCCTATAGAAGACATATGCATACTTTTAATTTTTTTAAAATAATATGATCATTTGAATGAATGAAGCAGGCATATGAAATTTTAAAAGAAGTATAAAATTTTAAACAAGAAAGAGCGTATTCAAGATGGCCTTGGATCCCCATTATGTGATCACTGAATCTAAACATTTCAATCCCTGTCTTCTCTAACCATGCAATAATCTCTGCCTTTGCCGGAAGTTCTCTTACCTCATCTCGATGGCATTGGATTATGGAGAGCTTTAATGGCAGCATGATAGACGTCAGAGATAATGGCGAGGATGATGTTAAGGTTATGCTTCTTACACCGATGTCCTAACCAGTATGAGATCGGCTAACCTTCCCTCCTAATGCACAACATAGTATCTAGTGACTGAAACAAATGCCGAGGATTTCCTTCTTCATGGAATTAAGTTTCTGAATGAGAGTGATGAGGCGATGGCTTTAGGAGTCATTTCTATGAGTGTTGTTGCAGCTGTTGGTGAAGATGAATCCATTATATAGGTTGAGATCACCATGTTCCTTGGTATTTCTTCCTCACGTACTCGGAATCCTCTACGTATAGCAACAGTGCATGCCTTTTTTCTCTCTCCTTCTCTTTCCTCTTCACTTAAAAGCTTTTTAAGGTCTCTTTCTTCTCAGGCTCTCCATTCCAGATTCCTTAGAAATCTCTCATGTTTTAACCTCTTCTCCATCATTCTCTTGCTTCCACCTTCAACTCTCTGTCTCCATTCGTTCCTTGTTCTAGCTGCTGTGCTCTCTCACTCTCCTTCTCTATCTCTCTCTCCTTCAAAAATTCCTCTCTCTCTTTCTTCTTTTCTTAGTTTTAGATCCGTCTATGCTTTATGCTCTATTTTTTCTTTTTTTTTTGTCTATCCTCAGTCTCTCCTTCCTCTAGTTTTCCTCATCTCGATGCTCTGTTTTTGCTTTCTCCTCTAGCTTTTCATGAGAACTCGATGCTCTGTTTTTGCTTTCTCCTATAGCTTTTCATGAGAGCTCGATGCTCTATTTTTGCTTTCTCCTCCAGCTTTTCATGAGAGCTCGATGCTCTTTTTTTTCTTCCTTCGGTTTTCTTCTGCGTCTACTGTCTTTTGCTTCTCCTTCATTGGTGTTTTCTCCCTCTTTTCTTCCTCCAGTTTTTTCTCTTCTCTGTCTAGTTTTTTGCATCTGCGGTAATGTCTTGGTGCTCTATTTTTTTTCCTATTTTCAATTTTCTCTTCATCTCAATTTTTTCTCTCGGTCCCCTCGTCCGTTCCTCCCTTCTTTTAGTCCTTCATCCCTTTTAAAGTAGAAATAGGGAAGAGCTTGTGTGTGAGGAGAGCTTATGTGCTTTCTGGCTCTACTCTGCTGTGTGCATGTTGCTATGTGTTTGCTTCCCTTTTTTTTGTCGTGTTTCTTTGTGTTTGCTTTCTGCATTAGTGTTTTGTGTTTCTGTTTTTGCTTTTTCAGTGCACACCTCTGCTTCTTCTATTTTTATTTTCTCTCGTCTGGTCTCCCTTAGTCTGGCGCTGTTATCATTTTGCCTTTCCTCTACGTGCTTTGATTTCGTGTTTTCGGTTGGTGGCAGAGTCTGGTTCTGCTTTTCTCTTCTTCTGTATCAAAGGATCTATTCTCGTCTTTTTTGTTTTTTTTTGTAGGTGAAACGCACACCCAGCAATTAATTAGGTTTTTTTATTTTAAATTAATGTTTACCTTTTTTTTGAAATTAGATTATATATTTTTTTAAATAAAAAACAATAAAATTTAAGGAGAGAAATTTAAGAATAATTGGGTCTCAAAAAGTTAATTCACAATATCTTTGGATGGTTGGGATAAATTAGGAGAAATGTTAAAAGATTTAAACAAAATTTTTTTATTTTGTTAAAATTTAATCTTAACAAGGATTAAATTTTATTTTTGTATATTTTTATATTTTTTGATTATTTATGAACTAAAAGAAATAAAATCCTAACAAAAAAGGGTTATCTAAAATAAAATTAAGCCCTATCAATTAAATTAATTTTTTATTTTGAAAATATAATCCTAAAAAGGATTAAATTTTATTTTTGTATTTTTATATTTTTTAGTTGAATTTATTTTGATTTTGTTAAATTTAAAAAATGCCTGAACAAAATATAGTGTTGACACTAAGTATGTTACAGTAGCTAGTAAATCAGCCTTTAACATAAGCTTTCATGTTTTAACAAAGTATCATCCTTGCCTCTTTTCAAATAATATGAAAATATTAATTCATACCCGTGGTTAAATAGTTTTGTGCCATTTTATGGTAATTTTTATATTTTGTCTTTAGATATATATATATATATATATATATTTGATAATAAAACAATTTAGTTAATATTCATTGTAAATAATGAAAAAGAAATTGCAGAGATAATTGATATTGAACACCCATCTCCATTTTCAACAAGTGGACCTATATTTGAGAAATTTAATATTCTATTTTTAGATGATGAGGAAGAAAATTCAGTTTTGGATTGATGAAAATTTTAATCTACATCTTAAATTTAAACTTTTCAGTTTTTGTTTGATGTGAAGCCCTGATTTGTTTTATGTTGAATTTTAGAATATTATGTTTAAATTATAATATTTATTTTTTTTAAATTTTTCTCAAAAGCAGGCTATAGGCCCAACCCTAAACCCTTTGAATAAGGGCTAGGCCTCAGGATAAGGTCAAAAATTAGGACTCGCTTGGTTTTTCATCTCTACCCTTGATCATTTTTAATA